AACTTACATTTTTGTTGCATCTATTGACAACTTTTTGAATGCATTTAAAGTCTACATTATATATGTTGGCTTTAGCACTTGTTTATTGAAAGGACTAAATTGAATTCAATGAAGTAAACTATCATGCTTATAATCGTCTCAGCATATTATTAAAACACACATATAGCAAGTATTTTAACATCAAACAATAGTGCACATCACCTTATAAATCAGTGATACACAGATATGAAAACTTTGGCTGATACCATTAACTGACAATTCTTTTTATTTGAAAACTAACAACTGATATATTGGCTAATAAATCAAAATTTTTATATAATTTGAGTCCCACCATTAAAAGCCATGACCCAAGCACACATTTATAATATTCTCATTATAATTTTATATAGCTGATATGACAGAACTGTGTTTTCCTTTTTTAAAGTGATTTCAATCATATTTCAAGCAATTTAAAACCATGTTGAACAATGCGCATCTGAAGTGTCTCAGCTGAAGGATTATTTATTGGCTTTAATATATTGGCCAAATTTTCTTATCGGGCTGATAACGATATGGTGGCCGATATATTGTGCATCCCTATTATACTATTCATAGCTCTGAGATACCTGATATTTAATATCATATAGATCCTATTTTATCCTCATTACCTCAATATGCATCTGGGCAGAACAAGTTTCGAATGATGTGTAAATGTAGGGAGTCGTTAAAAATAAATGTGACCGTTTCGTAAACGCAGCATGTGAGTTTTCTAAATGAAGAAGGGCACATGAAAATCATTTCAACCAGATAATTTAATTTTAAATTCAGGATCCTTCAGTTATGGGTGCATCTGAAATCTTTACACTTGAGCAATGATTGAAATGCGTAATGAAGAGTGTTGATCACAGGTACAGCTTGATGAGCTCGTCGCTGACGGCAGAGGGCGTCAGCACCCCGAGGTCAGTGAAGAGTAGCGTGATGAGGGATGGGGGGGTGTAGTCGATCAGCGGGTGCTCCTGGCTGAGGTCCACTGTTTTCAGGATATCTGCTTTATACTGAAAGACGCACAGAATGAGATATTTATGTATAATAAGTGGAACTCTGTGTTTAAACTAAAATGAAAATTACCCCATGATTTACTCACCCTCAAGCCATCCTAGGTGTACATGACTTTCTTTATTCAGACGAAAATAATCGGAGTTATATTAAAAAATGTCCTTACTCTTCCAAGCTTTATAATGGCAGTGAATTGAAGTTTGAAGCTTGAACAGTTTGAAGCTCAAAACCGTGCATCTATCCGTCATAAACGAACATATATTTAAAGTCCCACTCCGATCATATTTTGAGCTATTTTTAAACATTCCCAGTGGTCTTTAAATTATGATTATGCCATTTTTAGCCAAAATCACAAAACCTGTTCCGTTTTCTGGGACTTCGCTTCAGCAGAGCGGCAGTAGCTCATTAGCAATTCGCCTCTGCGTTGTGGGCGGAGCCGTTGGCACGGAGACGCCCCTCCCCCTGCCCGTTGCTGAGAGCTCTGTCTCTCCCGCTAGCTTAAACCCCCAATACCGGTGGGGCAACAGTATTATATACACGTTAATTATTATTATCCGAAGTTAATCAAAGTTATCACCGATCATTATTTCACTCCAAGACGTCGCGTGTGGAGACGCCCAGTGGAGTTACTACGTCACAACTCCAGTCTATTTTAGCGTCTGCTACTGATTCACAGCCATTTGAATGTAGAAATACTCAGAAATACAACTTTGAGCTTATTTTTCTCAAGATATGTCCTCTAACATCAGAAAAATGCCACAAGAACATGTTAACACCTAGAAAAACATTATTTTCATCGGAGTGGGTCTTTAACAAAGTAAAGTTATAAAGTTACAAAGTAAAATTCTAGCTTCCGGCCAAATGCGAGTCTAGTTGCGTATAAAGCGCAACTTATGACGTCGGAAATTGCGTAGTGTGTCATGGCGTAGCGTAAATATCAGCAGTGCGTCGCATTACTCGCATAAGTTGCGCTTTACACTTAAAGGTACTATATGTAGGTTTTAGCGGCCTCTAGCGGTGATGTTTCAGATTGCAACAAGAGCGCTCGTGCTCGTGTGTGTGCTCGATCTCAAGAGCGAGCACTCACTACCGGCCACACTGAGACTTTCAACACAACGGAGAAAGCATCACACAATTAGCTGGAAACTCATGTAAACTCCCACTGCAACGTTACAATAATAGGCTACTTTTATCAGCTTGACGTTGAGCTAATGCTCCATGCTCGTACCATGATAACGTTACATTGACTGCATTTAGCCGACATGTGGTGTTATCTAGCATAAGGCATTTCACTAACTATTCGTGCATCTTTCACAATCAGCAATGTCAACATAGGTGAATGTATAATATGATAATGAAAACGGTGAACTAGACTGAACAATGTCAGTGTAACAGTAAGACAGTAGGAAGTAACATTACTGTACTGAACGTGTCTGGAAATGTGTATTATAAACAATATGATAGTAGTGGGATGAGTGATGTTAGACAGTAGATCTAGTACATAAAATAAAAGTTACATCCTAAAGCACCTACTTTTTGTTATCCTGGAACAGTCTTTTGTATTCATTTCATGTCTTATATATGTTGTAGTTTACCTTGCTATTTCATTACAGTTTACCATTATTTATTTCAGCATATCTGAAAACTTGTAATTTATCACAATAAAAATAGCGAAGGCCTCCATAATCCAAAAGCTCTGCCGATGTTGATCCGTGTTTTTGTCCTAAAGTCGATCCGATTGACGTTTGGCCTGACGAGCTTCAGCAGATTCATTTTCTTTGTTTTGTATATTTATGTGGAGTTAGTGTTGGAGTGTGTGTTGTGCTGGAGGCAGGTCGTGTTGGGGTGTTACCAGACCAGGCCCGGATTGGCTAATCGGGAGCACCGGGAGAATTCCCGGTGGGCCGGTCTGGATTATTGGCCAGGAGGCCCGGTGTTGTCATGGCACTGGGTTGAATGCTCCAGTCACAGCGCAGCCCCACTATTTTTTTATTGTTATTTTCTCGCAGCCCCACAAAAAAAGTCAGTTGTTAGAGATGTGCGAACAATTGCAATATTTCGCATATTGTGACGATAACCGACCTCATCGGATCTGCTTCAGTAGCTACTCAACACCGCTCGTCGGCAATGGCAAAATGTTTGAGATGACCGATCAAAGCAAGCGGGATGTATGTTCACAGAAGCGCGGGCCGCGCGCGAATCCCAACGCGACGCTTCACGAGATAAGATGCAAGTGGCTAAACTAAACAGCTGTTTTACGATAGAAGTTTTAAACGACCGACATAAATAATCAGTTTGCAAAGACTGTATCATTCAAAGGTAACCTAAAGATAAAGAGACTGAGAGAAAAAGAATGAGAGAAGGAGATGGAGATGAGAGAGGAGAGCAGGAAGAGCAATAGCCTACGGCATACTGTGCCCAGAAAGAGAATAACTTTATTACAATGGATTCCTATTTAACACACATATACATGTTCTTTGCCAATGACAGTGGAAAAATAATATGCCCCCGAACCCAGATCACTTTTGGGACCTTTGTACGGCTATTGCACTGAATAGAAAATTATATATTTGAAAAATACAATGAATTACAAGGCTGTACAGAACAGTGCACTGTATGTTGGTTGCGATCCACTGCCGTTATAAAGCTTGGAAGAGTCAGGAAATTTTTTAATATAACTCAGATTATATTCGTCTGAATAAAGAAAGTCATGTACACTGAGGATGGCTTGAGGGTGAGTAAATCATTTGAAAGTGAACTACTCCTTTAAGGTGTGTCGTAATTACGAGATTCCAACTTGTAAAAAGCGTCCTCGTAAAACTGGGAATTACAGCTTGTGAACTGGGAATTTTCTGAGAGCTCATTCTTGTATCATGTGACCACTGCAGATTCATTCTAGGTGTTGATAACATAGAAAGGAATAATTCTCAATCCGAGGACGCGAACAGCTTCAACGTCACATATTGTCATCTCGTAATTACGACATGGCGTGAACGCGGCATTACCTTGAATCTATCGGGTACGTCTTGCTGGTTAAGAGGGTAGAGCCGCACAAACTTAAAACTTTCTGCCACCACATAAAATGGTTTGTTGTGCGCCTTCGAACACACAGCCATCTGATAGGTGCCAATCTGGGACATGAAGGAATGAATAATTTGATCAATCTAAGGAATGAATGGTAAGAAATAAATGCATTTTGTTTTAAGGCAAGACACTATAGGCAAAACCGTTGTTTTATTAGGCATTGGTGAATTTTGAGATATTTTTTTCTAGACTACTGGAAAGAAAACACCCATAACACACATTTATTACATTATCTATTTTTTGCATCTGTAAATTACCTTTAAAATCCATTTTAAAATCGCAAAATTACATTTTTTCTACTGAGTCAGAAATCTCCACTTTAGCAGTTCTTAAACATTACAGCTTTATTCCTGTCTATATTCTGAAGGTTTTTACAGAGGGGTTTGACAGTTTATGATATGTAAATGCTAAAAACATGATTTGTTATTGTCTGTTGAGAGTATTTTCTGATTTATGGAGTTTTGGATACGTGTCAACAAAATCAAGCGAGTAGAATTGTGAACTTGTTTTTATTCAATGTTCAGGTTTTGTGTTCTGGAAGTGTATGCAAATGAGTGCATATTTAATTAGATGATGGCTCATTTGCATATTTATACAACATCTCAGAAAACTAGTTATACAAAACAGTTGTCTTAGGGTACATTTACACAGCAATGATGTAGTAAAACGCAACGTTTTTAAATTGAACGTGTCGAGGCGTCCGGTCTCATCCTCTTCCAGACAAAACGGCTCCTTATGCTGCTTTATACATCAAACTGGTGTTTCTTACCCTGTTATTTGAATGTATTGTCGTAATTATTAACACACACTGACTTGCAGTGCAAACAGTTTTACCGTTTACTGCACTTTGTCATTCTTCTATTTGTTTTCCTGTTAGCGAATAGGAAGTCTCGCACATTCACAGAAAACGGCTTACTTTTGCATTGCATAATAAGATTTCCCAGTAGTGTCCCGCCTTAAATACAACTGCAAACATCAAGACTACAAGTGTGTGTGTGTGTGTGTGTATTTCTGACCTTGTTTATAACACCGCCACTCTCCACAACGCCCTCAGCGCCCACAATTACCAGGTCTACCTTCTCCATGATGTACCTACAATCACACAAAAACAAGTAGCAGATAAACTCTGCACTCACGGCCTGATACCCCTTTGAAGCTGTTATATTAAGGTACAAATCTTGCATAGTGTGCCTTTAAATAAGAGATCTAGCGCTAAAATGTGTTTTTGAACTCAAGCTGAGCGCTCGTGTCCGCTGCTATCAGTGTCATGGATACAGTGTTCTCTGTGGCGTCCAATCTTCACTCGGACGCGCGCTTCAATCTATCGCAGTTGCGGAGACTCTATTCATTCCGGTGAAATCACAAAATAAAATGCACAAAAAACGTGTACCTGCTTGATATAGACCGTAACCACTGATGAACATATTCAGTTTTGATGAGAGAGAAAAAACTTAGAACCTGTAACCTCTGACACGCTTGGCAAAAGATTTACCACTAGACCATTGAAGAACTCAAACAAAACTTGCGGATCGATGCATTTATTTACGGGTTGAGCAGAGAGGCTCATTCTCTTTTCCTAGTCCCTTCCGACCGCGCTTTCTTTGCTTTTTCCATCGTCGAGTATCACGTCTGAAATGCGCGCAAGTGTCTTCGTGCGTCATATGTTGTTGTTGATGTGTGTGACGTCGTTGCCGTAAAGCATGTCGTGATTCTCGCTAGATTTGTTGGGGGCGCTCCTCTCAAACTTGCATTGCTGGTTTTTCCAGTGGCGTCCTCCCCCAAGCTTTACTACCAGGATGATTCGCCCTACTATGAGTTTGTTTACCACCGAAATGACTTTGAAGCTGTTATATTAAGGTACAATTCTTGCATAGTGTGCCTTTAAGATGTAAAAACAAAACTAAGACACTTACCCGACTGCAGCATCGAGCACGATTGTGACGGGTATATTGAGTTTGCGTAGTTTTTGAGCCATAAGTTCACTAAGAGACAATAGGAAAAAACATTTATAAGTGATTGCATCATAAAAAACTATATAAACAATGTACAAATACACACATACTTTGATAGCAAGATATATATATATATATACACACACACAAAATGGTGCACAAGTTTGTGAACCCCTTGCGAAATCTGTGAACATTTTTAACAATATAAGAAGGATCATACAAAATGCATGTTTTTTTTATTTTATTATTTAGTAGCGTCATGTAGTGACGTATGTCTCGAGACCACTTTTACATGGTCTCTGTCTTGTCACGGCCTTGACGGTCTTTGGTCTTGGTCTCGGACCTCTCGGTCTTGTCTAGGTCTCGTCTAGGTCTCGTTGTCTCAGACCGACATAGTGGTCGGAGGATTTAGCAATATCAATATCCACGACGATATCCGCAACGGATTGAAGCGCGCGTCCGAGTGAAGACAGTGCGGTGTGTGCGCGAGCCCCACGAGAAAACACCGTATCCGCGCCACTGATCGCAGCGGCAACGAGCACTTTGATCACTTGATTTAAAAAACACATATCATGTACCGTTTTTGATGTATTAATATTTAGTAAAGTAAAAATCAGTGACATGATGGGTTTTAACTTCATTTAGGAGATTTTGGGTAACTGCACAACTGACAGATGACTTTGAGCGCACCGCCAACGGTGTGTGTGTAACCATAGCGACAAAACAACCAACTTTCGGATCCTGGACTTTAGCTTATAATTTTGTTTTTAAAAATATAATTATGTATTTAAAAGTTGCAGAATGGATTCATTTGGAGACTTCGAAATCGGCAGAGATAGGCAGGCAATGCAAAACAAAATCTTACAAGTTATTGCTTAGCTTCAACAACAGTCTGTTTTTTCCCCCTCCGGTCTCGGTCTTGGTCTCGACTTGGTCTTGGTCTTGTCTTGGTCTCGATACCCTCTGGTCTTGGTAGTGTCTTGGTCTCGGTTTAGGCGGTCTTGACTACAAGTGTAGCGTCTTGAATAAGATTTATAAAAGATGTTTACACATAGTCCACAAGACACAAGAGAAGAGTCCCAAAAGATGCAAAGTATTTTGTGGGAAGGGTCAACGTCTCCCAGTCTCCCAAAGATTGTGTTATAAGCATGTGACCAGAGACTAAAACAGCGGCAGTGTAACCTAGAACTGTTTTACTGCCTTTTAGTTTGACAGTGTTTCTGTTGTAATGGAGATGCTACTATATGGACTCCTACTGATGATTATCGCATGTGAGAAACTCCCATTTGTAGAAGATTCTTATTATTTCATTGCTCTAAATCATCTAAATCCTCATCGACCTTGAGTAAAGAGAAGAAATACTAATGGATGCAATATCAGAGAACTATGATCTTGATTGAGTGATTCCGAAATATGTTCTTTTAAAGATGCTTTCACACCAAAGGAACCCACAATACAGTGCATTAAATGTTAATTGTAATGAATTACCAGGGTGGGTAACTGAAACTACCTACGTAATACTTTAGGGACGCTAGTATAGAAGAATAAAAGGTCATTAGCATGTGCTAGTAGTGAACAAATAGAGCGAGATAAATAAGGACAGGAGAATAAGGACACAGTCATGGCTAGGGAAAAGAGGCCAATTTTGCAAATGGCACTTGAGGAAAGTAGTTTCAGATTGTAGCGCTATGTCACGTCGATCAATACGCCATTGAAACCTTTTCTGTTAATTCCAGTGTTTCTGCATGTTGTCCGACAGTAAACACACTCACCCTGCTGAATCCGGTTGTGATTCAGTGACATATACTGTAAAACGTTTGTTATCAGCGGCCGCATTTTCCAGAACCTTTAACACCACTCGGGATGACGAGTGTGTGAGGATTTTCTGCAAATGGAAGGCAGATATGAGAGTGTGTCCAAAACAATGACAACTAATGACGTCTTTTAGGAACGACTGTACTCACGGCTCCGTCTTTGATGAAGGTGTGGCACAGTTTACCCACTTTGCCTCTAGAGAGGGATATTTTCTTCAAGAAGAGTTCGCCTCTCTCTATCATCACATTCTTACACCGTGAGAGATCCTGTGATTCAGAGGCAGAGACAGCGAACATCACAAGGTGCAAATAATAACAGCGTTTTAAGACCATTAAAAAAACAACTTTTCAATTTTTCATTTAATAAGCAAGTAGAATTTTTTTGACAAGCACATAAAAGCAGCATATTATGGAAGCTTGTTTCCGCCACTGAATAATAAAAAAAATAAAAATAATAGCGACTTTTTATCTCACAATTGCGAGATATGAAGTCAGAATTGTGAGAATAAAGTCGCAATTGCGAGATATAAAGTCGCAATTCTAAAAAATAAAGACAGAATTGAGAATTTACTCACAATTGTGAGTTTACATCTCGCAATTCTGACTTTATAACACATAATTGCGAGTTTATATCTCGAGATTCTGACATCTTTTCTCAGAATTGTGAGATATAAACTCGCAATTGCGAGTTATCAGGCCAATTCTAAGGGGGAAAAAAAATACTAACTTGTTTCCCCTCAGAATAGTTTATATCTCACAATTCTGACTTTATAACACGCAATTGCAACTTTATATATATGTGTGTGTGTGTGTGTGTGTATATATATATATATATATATATATATATATATTAGTGCTGTCAAACGATTAAAATATTTAATCGCGATTAATCGCATTAATGTCATAGTTAACTCGCAAATTTTGATCTATTCTAAATGTCTCTTGATTTCTTTTTGTCCCATTATTTTTTCTAATTTTAATGCTCTTATCAACATGGAAAAGTGGATCGGCTTGCTTTGTGCAAATGTTTTTATTGAAAACAACATTGGCATATACTGTGTTCAATTTCACACTAACATTCTCACTTGGAGCAAATAATCTCTCACACAATGTAACACTGTCCATCAATAAAAGGGTGAAAGAAATACTGACGAGGTCCTGATATTGACGAGGGGGCGGAGAATTCGCATCAGCTGTGTGTGTGTGTGTGTGTGTGTGTGTGTGCTTGGCCATCATCAAGTGGTATTTCAGACTGGACGTGCTGCGATGATGATAGCTCAGTTCACAACGACAAAACACACAGATCACTTTGGTCTCGTCAATGGAACCATTTGGCAACTTTTTAAAAGTTAACTTTCCATTCAGAATCTTATTGGCATCCATTTCGGCGTCTCGCGCTCGTCATCCACTCAGAACGTAACGTTAACCAACTATTTGGCCGGCTCGCAAGCCCAAACAAGTGTGTGCTGTGTGCCTGTTGTTTTGTTTCCGGTCTAGCTAGATCCACTTGCGCTTTGGTCGACAAAGCAACAAAACGTCCTCGCGCGGCGCAAGCCATTGAAATGAATGGGTTTCATAGCGCAGCGCAGCGCCGCGTCCTGTTGCAAAAGCATGTGAATAAAACTACAAAGTTTGCTAGGCCAAAAAGACTGTTAATCGCGAGATAAAAAAATTTACGCCGTTAAAATGGGTTTAACTGACAGCCCTAATATATATATATATGTGTGTGTGCGCGTGCGTGTAGTATAATTATGTATGTATGTGTGTGTGTGTAGTATATATACACATACACACACACATATATTATACATTTACAAACTTTTATGTTAGATGTGATTAATCGATTTGACAGCACAAATTATTTTATATGTCAGGCTTCACAGGATTAATTAATTCTCCAAACATCTGCACTATTGATCAGGGCAGCTCCAGTATATCGTCTCTCTCGTCTCTGCTGAACTGACCGGATGCTCCAGCGAGGTCAGACTGATGAAGCGCAGGAACAGCTCTCCTCCCGACGACACGGCCACGGATGAGTCCGTCTCCTGGAGCCGGTGGATGGCCTGCGTCATGTTCTCTCTCAGGCCCAGGATAGTCTCGCCTGCAGGAGGAGGACAAGCATCGGTTCACGTCCACAACTCTCACACACACACACACACAGAGAGAGAGAGCGAGCGTGACAACTCACTCTGATCCCTCTTCAGGAACTCCAGCAGGGATCGTATCGCAGCCACCGCTGAAGCCACGTCTGGGTCTTCTCGGATCTGCGCTTGGAAATACTCCACCAGTTCTGTGAGGAAACACGTTTGTTAATTCATTTTAGTTTTGGGCTTGCAAGTAAACAACATTAAATTCCCATTCTGGAGGGATATTGAAATATAAATAGGATTCTGGGGTCTTTTCTGTCAAAGTTTTACACTTTACAGTAAGGTTTACTTTGTTAACTATGAACAAACAAAGAACAATTATATTTTTGTTAATTAAAATTAATACAAAATGATATTGCTAATTTTTAGTTCATGTTGGCTAATGCATGAGACCTATTGTAAAGTGTTACACATTTTTCTAATGGATTTAATGTTATTTATATTCAGAATCTAGATCCAAATTAATTATTTAAATTACAGTAATTATTTAAACTATTAAAGCCATTAATAATTACAATTACTAATATTTATTAATATGTCCATTAACCTATTAAAAAACTGCAATAACTACTACAGTCAAGTATTAAAGGTAAGTGAATAAAACAAAGGAATATCCAAACATAAATAAAGGACCCTAATAAAAATGTAGGTTTCATAACACATAATCGTAGCATCAGTCCCATCATCATCATCATCAATACATTTATAATACTTGTCCTGAAATAAATAAATATAGTAATAATTAATAATAATGTCCGATTGAATATTATAAATCTTCTTATTCTTCTCTTCAGAGGTTCCCATGAACGCTTTCTCTATATGTTTTCATTATAGTTATTGCCAAACAGGAGTAAAATCTGTCTAAAGCCTTTTACAACATCACAGAATGAAGAACATAATACAACTCATAAACTGGAAGATGATTAGAACACAGCTGCTAACACAATAGCATGTAGCATCACTGAATTGGTTTTAATAACTACGTTCTCAAAACTCACCTCTTTCTTCCATATTAAAGAGAAATGCTGAACATGTGTTTCAGGAGCGATGTGTGTTTGAATTCTCTCTTTCTTACGACGCTTCGCTGATGCAATGTTCCCTCATGACACTGACACTCACCCGATGAGATATTTTAACCTAGTTAACAGAATAATGTCTATTTTACTTTTTTAGATTAGCGACTTTGCCAGCAGATTAATGTTTATTTTAAATTTACTGTATTTCCTTCAAATTAGCAACGTTACAGTGAACAAGTGTTGCACTTTCTTCTTCTTCTTTTCCCTTATTTAAAGACGAATGGACCACCATCATTGATGTGCCACCTACAGGCCTGGAGCAAAACAGCACGAATTTATTTATACTCTTCTAATGTGATGTAAGACTGAATGAATAAATGGAAGAATGAATAGATAAATAAAAAATAATAATAAATAAATTAACAAATAAATAATAAAAAGCATGGAATATTTCCCGCTCCAACACGGGAGGTGGCGCTGTGCACCTGCTAATTTAGTTCGCACCCTTCCACTGAATACACAGAAGAAGACGTCCGAACGGCACAAATGTTAACATATCGGATCAAAATATCAACGAAATATTGTTATAGTGATGTAGTAGAGATATAGGAATCGCAGAAATGGCATCAGGTTTGTAAATCATAAAAAAAACATGTTAACAAGAAAACAACTTTTCATAAAAATAGGTGGAAGAATCTTAATTTTGAAAACACATGAAGTGTGATGCTCTTAATAAACATGTAAAACATGATGACTCGAGTGATATATGAAAATGATAACGATCACTAATGTTTGCAGAAGACGAAGTTAATATTCTGGTTCTGGTGTTGGATGTCAACCCAGTTTGGTGGGGTCAGCAAGCTCAACGAGAACCGAAGGTAATGTGTTGTTTTTTACTTAATAGAATGTGATTTTGACCCTGATTCATAACGGTCAGATTATCCTTATTGCCCATTAAAATGAACTTTTTCCTCTTTTCTTTCAGTTTACTCTTTCAACATGTTTGGACGCTTTAATGGTCCTGGCAAATGCCCATTTAGTAATGTCAAGAACCAACAAACTAGCCATCATTGCAAACCTGTATCATGAAAGGTAGACAATTAACTGATCATTTATAGTTAACCACACACACACACTAAAATATCTTAAAATATGCCATTGTTTTGTCTCAAGATTCACATCAGTCATGTTTTTTTCTAAGGCATCATGTTTATAAATGCTACTTAAATGCTCTAATTAAACTTAGTTCTAATCCTGGCTTAATCTAAGCCCTGTCTGTGGAACCAGGCCATAGTTTATAAACATGCACTACAGCTAAACTCTTTTTTGTCATCAAGCCACTTCCTATATCCCAGTAAGCAGTGGAAATCAGGGGATGAAATATCTGGAAGTACTGACGGCAAATACGAGCTTCTGTCAGCTACCAATGACCTCTTTGCAGAAGAGATTAAGAAACTCATGGACAGATGTAAGTTATTTAAAGATTGTATTGTTAATTATACAGATTAACGGAACTAAATGATTTGGTTTGATAAATGTTTTTGCTTGTGCCGATTGGTTTGATGCACTCAGCCTTCTATCTAATGCCATGTTTAATTTAATTTGCAGTGTATTCTGGGTGATACTACTAGAGTATAACTGTGTTTATTTCCTCATTAACAGCAGAAGTCAGTGGGAATCAGACAGACTCGCTGTTGGCCGTCTCTCTCTCCAGAGCGCTGTGCTGTATCCTCTACTGCCGACCTTTTTATTTCAGTTTAGACTAGGGCTGCACGATTATGGCAAAAATCATAATTGTCGATTATTCCCTTTAAATTGTAATTTTTATTATTAATTAAGATGATCACAATTTACAATGATGTTTTGAAAACACTCTTCCTGAAAAACTTTTATTGCTTTTCTCTAGCATTAAGCCTCAAATGTCAAATATATATATAAAAAAAAAATTAAAGAAACCAAACCAAAGTAAAAATATGCATGGTATTATAATGTTAAACTAAAATTAAAACATTAAGATAAAAACCTTATTTTTTTAATTGCGCCTTTGAATGATTACATAATTGCGGAATGAAATCCGTAATTGTAATCGGGATTACAAATTCGATTAATTGTGCAGCCCTAGTTAGTTTAGACCTAAAGCGAGTTTTGTGAATAATGATGTTTCATTAATTATTGACTCTCAGACATTCATCGAGTCTCGAAGGAAGTGCAAGGTAAACACACTGTTATCATCTCTTCCGCAGTGCAATGAAAACTAAGCACATATGATTCATATATAAGAGCGATAGTTCTATAAAGCAATGTGAATTTAAGATTTCCTAATGCTTTAATTAAATAGATCTCATTATTTTTATTCAGTGCAACTAATATTTGGACTGAATTCTCGCTGTTTTACTTCCAGCTGGACAGGACATGAAATCAAGGATTTTGGTAAGCACTTCTTTAGCTTTAACAGCCGAACACGTTCAGTTATAACTGCACTAACATGCTTTGAGTGTGATTTCAGGTAATAAAAGCTGCTGAGGACTCTACGTTACAGTACATGAACTTCATGAATATGATCTTTGCAGCACAGAAGAAGGTGAGGGTAACAACTGAACTAGCATCTTTACATTTTAATTATGTATTCTTCTGATATCGATATGTATATGCTTCCATTATTCCCTGTTCATAAAGAATATCCTGATTGATGCCTGTGTGTTGGACACCGACTCAGGACTATTGCAACAGGTATTTTGTTTGCTTTTATTGATGCTTGTGGATTTTTATGGAAGCTTGTTTCCGCCACTGAATAAAATAAATAAATAAATAATTGCGACTTTATCTCACAATTGCGAGATATGAAGTCAGAATTGTGAGAAATAAAGTCGCAATTGGGAGATATAAACTCGCAATTCTGAGAAATAAAGTCGCAATTGCGAGATATAAAGTCACAATTCTGAGAAATAAAGTCGCAATTGCGAGATATAAAGTCACAATTCTGAGAAATAAAGTCGCAATTGCGAGATATAAAGTCGCAATTCTGAGAAATAAAGTCGCAAGTGCGAGATATAAAGTCGCAATTCTGAGAAATAAAGTCGCAATTGCGAGATATAAAGTCACAATTCTGAGAAATAAAGTCGCAATTGCGAGATATAAAGTCACAATTCTGAGAAATAAAGTCGCAATTGCGAGATATAAAGTCGCAATTCTGAGAAATAAAGTCGCAATTGCGAGATATAAAGTCACAATTCTGAGAAAAAAGTCGCAATTGCGAGATATAAAGTCACAATTCTGAGAAATAAAGTCGCAATTGCAAAATATAAAGTCGCAATTCTGAGAAATAAAGTCTGTGACTTTATAACACATAATTGTGAGTTTATATCTCGAAATTCTGACATCTTTTCTCAGAATTGTGAGATATAAACTCGCAATTGCGAGTTATCAGGCCAATTCTAAGGGGGAAAAAAGACTAACTTTTGTCCCCTCAGAATAGTTTTTATCTCACAATTCTGACTTTTTCTCACAATTGCGAGTTTACATCTTGCAATTTTGACTTTATTTCTCAGAATTGCAAGATATAAAGTCGCAATTGCGTGTTATAAAGTCAGAATTGCGTGAAATAGTCGCAATTGCGTGTTATAAAGTCAGAATTGCGTGAAATAAAGTCGCAATTGCGTGTTGTTAAGTCAGAATTGTGAGATATAAAGACTATAAGACTGACTTTTTTCCCCCTTAGAATTTGCCTGATAACTCGCAATTGCGACTTTATTTCTCAGAATTGCGACTTTATTTCTCAGAATTGCGACTTTATTTCTCAGAATTGCGACTTTATTTCTCACAATTCTGACTTCATATCTCGCAATTGTGAGATAAAAAGTCGCAATTTTAAAGTCAGAATTGCGAGATGTAAACTCACAATTCTGAGAAATAAAGTCGCAATTCTGAGAAATAAAGTCGCAATTTTAAAGTCAGAATTGCGACATGTAAACTCACAATTACGAGAAATAAAGTATTTTTCTTTCTTTTTTCTGCAATTGCGACTTCATATCTCGCAATTGTGAGATAAAAAGTCGCAATTATTTATTTTTATTTTTTTATTCAGTGGCGGAAACAAGCTTCCATAACACACAATTTCGACTTTATATCAATCAATTCTGACTTTACATCTCGCAATTGTGAGAAAAAAAGTCGCAATTACCTTTTTTATTTTTCATTCTGTGGCGGAAACAAGCTTCCATACGTTTTTAAATCACACAGTAAATATAATTTATTTGATCAAGATTGCTATGTCCAGTTGGTAAAGCTACAGATGATGATGATGAGGATGATGATACCACTAAATACATCGGTGTGAAGCAAAGTGATAACGATTCGAATAATGCCGCAAATGACCGTTCAGACAGCATGAAGAAATAAACAAAATATGTATCTAGACTAGTTCACCTCAAAATGAAAATTTCCTAATAATTTACTCACCCCAATGCCGTCCAAGATATCCATGTCTTTCTTTCCTCAGTGGAAGAGAAAATAACTTTTTTGAGGAAAACATTCTTCGAATAATGGACCTCAATGGCAACCAACGTTTTGAAGTCCAAATCAATGTAGACTTAAAGGGATATTCCACCCGAAAATGACAATTCCCTCATCATTTACTCGCCCTCATGCCATCCCCGATAAATAAACAAAGGAAGATTTTTAGGAAAACAAGCGAGTCTGTGAGTCCATATAATGTCATTGGATATTGGTTTGACGCTTGAAAAACTACACACACAAATCAAAACTATATATCATAGTAGTTAAAAATACACACCTACCTAAAAATCTTTGTGTTTATCTGAAGAAATAGTCATAAACCTTGGAGATGTCATGAGGGCGAGTAAACAATTTACATTTTTGGGTGAAATATCCCTTTAATGCTCCAAATTTCCATCTTTCTACAAGTAATAAGCACTGACTATTTCAAAGACATGAAGCGGAAGCTATTTTGTTACCACTGTTTATTATATTGGTACAAAATTCACGAGTCTTGCACAGATTTGATGGCACTTTTGCATATGCATTATTATTGCTCATTGTGGAAAGCATGCGTTGCACACGCTGAAGTGCAGTCAAACTAAGTGTTTTCAACAGTGCTGAATTATTTGGTTTGACTGAGTGTGAAACTACGGTTTGTTTTTCAACAGGCTTGTGATATTACTGGAGGCTTGTATCTCCGAATTCCTCAAAAGATTGCTCTGGCACAGTATTTGTTGGTGAGATATTTGCACGTTCATCATATCGTAACGTTCTCATGCTTAATGTCTTGTGTGTTTTTACCAGGCGTAGTGAAATGTACAGTAATTTATTCCTGTGACCAAAGGTGGATTTTCAGCATCATTACTCCAGTCTTCAGTGTCACATGATCCTTCAGAAATCACTCTAATATTTATGATTATTATCAATGTTTTATTTTTAATTGAGGGAGACCACATTAACATTCACAGCTCGTGTTTACAGTCTGAATACTGTAATCTGTTAATATGGTCTCTGATATCAAGACGTGTCACTTTATGCTGCGGACACAAGAAATATAATAAAATGTTTTTATTAACTTGAACTTAGTGTACCTTTTAGTGACCTTCAAATATATCAAAAGATCCTTTACAGCAGGGTTATCGTCCATCATATCGCAGCAGGATGTTTTTTATTTATTTTATTTTTTGACAGGGACAATGCAAACAAACATAGTGTCAAAACAAAGCTTGTTACTGAAGTGCTGCATATAAAGTTTATAGCAAATGCTAATTTTCAACTCCTGTCCCTGGTTGGGCTTTTATACACAATCAAATTTACATCACTACTTCAATTTAAAAAATATAAACATGATATATAAACATGCATATCATATACAACTCTTTCCTACTTACAAAAATTAAAAATGAGTACACTTTTGGTTTGTTTTTAAGCCTGGAAGTAAACACTTTAAAGGGTTAGTTCACCCAAAAATGAAAATTATGTCATTGATGACTCATGTCGCAAGCCCAAGGAACGACATGAGGGAGAGTCATTAATGACATAATTTTCATTTTTGGGTGAACTAACCCTTTAACATTTAGTGTGTAGGTCAGCGGTCTCATGCTTGTGTCGTGTGTGTGTGTGTGTGTCAGTGGGTGTTTCTGCCAGACACAGACCAGCGGTCTCAGCTGTTACTGCCTCCTCCGGTGCACGTGGACTACAGGGCCGCTTGCTTCTGCCACCGCAACCTCATTGAAATCGGCTACGTCTGTTCAGTGTGCCTGTCAAGTACGTTCTCATCGACACTTCATTGCTTATTATCCATTTGGAGAAACACATGTTTGAAATCATTGGTGGGTTCAGGCTGGTTTCAGACTAGAGACGCACCGATGTGAACATTTTGGTCACACCCGATAATTCTTTATATTTGAAATCCGATAACCAATATATTGGCTGATAAGTCAAAATCCAAATTTTTTATATTTTTTAAGATGTGAGCCTAATCATAAAAACAAAAGTCATGTCCCAAGCACACAATTATAATGTTCTCATTATAATTATATGTAGCCGATATGACCGATTTGCACTGAACTGTATTTGAGTGATTTCTGTCATATTTCAAGCAATTCAAAACCATCATGTTGAACAGTGCGCATCTGAAGTCTCTCAGCTGAAGGAAATAATGCATTATTTATCAACTTTAATGTATTGGCCAAATTTTCTTATTGGGCCGATAACATTAAAAATGAACATACAGGTGAAACTCGAAAAATTAGAATATCGTGCAAAAGTTCATTTATTTCAGTAATTCAACTTAAAAGGTGAAACTAATATATTATATAGACTCATTACATGCAAAGAGAGATATTTCAAGCCTTTATTTGTTAAAATTTTTATTATTATTATTAAAACCTATTCTAATTTTGAATGTGGGGTTTTCATAAGCTGTGAGCCATAATCATCAAAATTATAACAAATAAAGGCTTGAAATATCTCACTTTGCATGTAATGAGTCTATATAATATATTAGTTTCACCTGTATATCGTCCCGATACCGATATGGTGGCAATGTATATTGCATCTCTATTTCAGACTCTTGTGTCTGTGCATGTGAGTGTCGCCACGGCACGTGTTGAGCAAGTGTTACAATTTAAAAGAAATGTTTCCTATTTGAATATCAAAAAATTTAATTTATTCCTGTGATCAAAGCTGAATTTTCAGCATCATTACTCCAGTCTTTATTCACATGATCCTTCAGAAATCATTCTGATTATTATCAATGTTTTATTTTTGTAGAAACCGTGCACTGAAATGGAAATCTTTGATTGAGGGAGACCACATTAACATTCACAGCTCGTGTTTACAGTCTGAATACTAGAATCTGTCATTATTATGGTCTCTGATATCAAGACGTGTCACTTTATGCTGCGGACACAAGAAATAGACCTTTTGGAAAATGTTTTTATCAACTTGAACTTAGTGTGATAAAAAAACATTTTCTCCCTTTGCCTTTTTACTGACCTTAAAATATATCAAAATATCCGGTAACACTTTATTTTACAGTGTCCTTGTTACATGTACTTACCGTAGTAAATCATGCATAATTACATGCAACTAACCCTAAACCAAATCCTAACCCTATAGTAAGTACATGTAATTGCTTAATATTACTCAGTACTTAAATATGTAATCACACTGTAACAATGACACCTTAAAATAAAGTGTAACCGGGTTATCTTTTAACATGTTTTAACCTTGTTTTGCATCTTTTCCTCCCTTTTGTTCACCAGTATTCTGTAACTTCAGTCCAATCTGCACAACATGCGAGTGAGTCTTTTCAACATCATTTTGAAACGGGTCTGATAGATGACATGTGGTTTCCGGCAACCTTTAACAAACGGTCTTGTGTGTGTTCTTCTGTTTATAGGACTGCTTTTAAAATGCCACTGCCTCAGGTGGCTAAAACCAAGAAGAAAAAAGTCAAAACTGCAAACTGATCACATCCAGGTTACCTCATCAACAAATGTGTGTTGTAATTGTATTTAGCATACTTTTTTTAACTGTGATTTGAGCATTAGGAGAAATTGTAAAAAAAAAAAAAAACGATTTTGATAAGTTTATTTGAACATGTTTTGGTATTGCAGCTCACACAATAAATAAAATGTTTTTTACAAAGTAAAATAAAGTGTTTACTTTTCAATGCGGCACATTCATATCTTTCACACATGTCAGAAATGAAGTGAAATCCACTTGATTCAAACACATTTGGGTATGTAGGTTTACTGAAATAAGTTAAGAATTAAAAACAACAAAACAATATTACAAGAAACATCCCACTTATATAAGTTAGGTCTGGTTATAGGTTACATAACATATATACGTCACAGTACAGTTTTCACTGTATTTCACAGAGGCATTACTGCAGTGACTAACGGATTGGCTTCCTGCTAAAGTAAGCCATTATTGGTCATGGTGTTATTTCTGTGCCCTACTGCCAACATCAACCAATCAACTTCATCTTTGTAAACATTGAGAAAACCACATTAGAGATGAAGATCTTCTGCAGCAAAGAACATTTAGTTCTGTTAGACGTTTTCTGTCCTACAGAGAAATGGTCCATATAAAACGATCCTTGGGCTTCGGTCCCACGATGCCGTTTATAAATCACTGAAAAAATGTCTAATCTAGATCAGGAGAAAACACACACTCAATACGTTGCTTCTGTGATGCGTGTCATATTGAAGCTTGTTTCCGTCATGGAATAAAAAAAAATTGGAAAAGGTAATTGTGTCTTTTTATCTCTCAATTACGGCATTTTTGTTACAATCATGGAATAAAAAAGGGAATCGTATGGAAGCTTGTTTCCGCCACTGAATAAAAAAATAATAATAATTGCGACTTTTTATCTCACAATTGTAAGATATGAAGTCAGAATTGTGAGAAATAGTCGCAATTGCAAGAAAAAAAGAAAAATTGAGACTTTTTATCTCACAATTGTGAGTTTACATCTCGCAAATTCTGACTTTATAACACAATTGCGTGTTTATATCTTGAAATTCTGACATCTTTTCTCACAATTGTGAGATATAAACTCGCAATTGCGAGTTATCAGGCCAATTCTAAGGGGAAAAAAAAGACTAACTTTTTTCACCTCAGAATAGTTTATTCATCGCAATTCTGACTTTATATCTCGCAATTCTGACTTTATAACACGCAATTCTGACTTTATATCTCGCAATTCTGACTTTATAACACGCAATTCTGACTTTATATCTCGCAATTCTGACTTTATATCACGCAATTCTGACTTTATATCACGCAATTCTGACTTTATATCTCGCAATTCTGACTTTATATCTCGCAATTCTGACTTTATATCTCGCAATTCTGACTTTATATCACGCAATTCTGACTTTATATCACGCAATTCTGACTTTATATCTCGCAATTCTGACTTTATATCTCGTAATTCTGACTTTATATCTCGCAATTCTGACTTTATATCTCGCAATTCTGACTTTATATCACGCAATTCTGACTTTATATCACGCAATTCTGACTTTATATCACGCAATTCTGACTATATCTCGCAATTCTGACTTTATATCTCGCAATTCTGACTTTATATCTCGCAATTCTGACTTTATATCTCGCAATTCTGACTTTATATCTCGCAATTCTGACTTTATATCTCGCAATTCTGACTTTATATCTCGCAATTCTGACTTTATATCACGCAATTCTGACTTTATATCTCGCAATTCTGACTTTATATCTCGCAATTCTGACTTTATATCACGCAATTCTGACTTTATATCACGCAATTCTGACTATATCTCGCAATTCTGACTATATCTCGCAATTCTGACTTTATATCTCGCAATTCTGACTTTATATCTCGCAATTCTGACTTTATATCACGCAATTCTGACTTTATATCTCGCAATTCTGACTTTATATCTCGCAATTCTGACTTTATATCTCGCAATTCTGACTTTATATCTCGCAATTCTGACTATATCTCGCAATTCGACTTTATATCTCGCAATTCTGACTTTATATCTCGCAATTCTGACTATATCTCGCAATTCTGACTTTATATCTCGCAATTCTGACTATATCTCGCAATTCTGACTATATCTCGCAATTCTGACTTTATATCTCGCAATTCTGACTTTATATCTCGCAATTCTGACTATATCTCGCAATTCTGACTTTATATCTCGCAATTCTGTCTTTATATCTCGCAATTCTGACTTTATATCTCGCAATTCTGACTTTATATCTCGCAATTGCGACTTTATATCTCGCAATTCTGACTTTATATCTCCCAATTCTGACTTTACATCTCGCAATTCTGACTTTATATCTCCCAATTCTGACTTTACATCTCGCAATTCTGATAAATAAAGTCAGAATTGTGAGATAAAAAGTCGCAATTACCTTTTTTATTTTTCATTCTGTGGCGGAAACAAGTTTCCATAGTGTCAACATATACAGAAATCGAAAGAATATATATATATATATATATATATATATACACAAAATAAAACACATTTAAGTACATTTATATTTATTCAATAAGCAGACACTTTTATTCAAAGCAACTTAAAAATGAGGAATACAAACAAGCATTTATGTAATGCACAAAAAATCTAATAATGCTATAAATGTGTCTTTTCCCTGAGGAAGGCATACCTTTGTTAAGAGATTGTCCTGCACTTCCGGGTCCTTCTCGAACTCCACTTCCGCATCTATAACCAGCACAGGCACCTTCGCCAGGTGCTCGAAATGAACCCTGTGTGAAGAAAGAAGAGCACTAATAAAATACTGTTGTCTTTTACAGCAGAATTGAACTCTCAAGTCAAGTCTCCTTTACTTATACAGCGCTTTTTACAATACAGATTGTTTCAAAGCAGCTTTAGTTTTTTAACAGGAAAATAATTAAAGTTTGTTTCTGCTTTAAAGCAGATCTAGAAGAAAATAGTGTAAGCCATGTTTCCATTCACTCGTCAATCGAATTATCTGAAGTTCGGTAAAAAACCTCATGCGAATAAAGCTGGTGAAAGTGTGTTTCCATCAAACGGCTTTAAAGCGGATAAAAACCTGTGCGTAATGACGTCACATGCTGTTTTGCGATCAAATTGGTATATCGAATTGATATGAGAGGGTCATACAATGGTACATGCACTTTTACAAGTTGATTGTACTGAAATGTGTGTTGGCAGTGCCTGTACACAACCATCATATAATGATAAAAATCCAATCCAGTGTTTTTGTTTTAATCTCCTTATATGTTTTCCCCTGCCTCAAATCGAGCCGTTCGAGCCTGTGACGTCACACGCTCGGAAGCCCCTCCGGCGATTGTTGATTGACAGCAGCGTTTCAACACAGACCCGCCCTCGCTCGTGAGCTAGCTGTCAATCATAGTCTGCGCGGACCGGCGCGCTCATTGTTGATATGCTGGAGCACTGTCTATGAGCAGAATGGCTCTAAGCGATTGTGGTGTTCTGTTCTTGGGTGTAATAACGAACACAGTCATTTTAATGTTCCTAAATCCGAACCGCTGAAGACGCAGTGGCTGAGTTTGTTTTCGAAGGGAATATTCCCCACGAGCAACGTCAATGCTTTCATATTTGCGCAAATCATTTCACACCAGACTGCTTTATAAACGAGGGTCAGTATAAAGCTGGTTTTGCTAAGAAGCTGCTCATGAAAAAAGGATCGGTACCAGATATTCGTGTTCCTGCTGAATCTCCAAGAACTGAAGTGAGTGTAACGGTTTTATTAACCTTTATATTAATATTTATATTAATCTTTGCAAATCGCTAGCTGCACGCTTCACGATGAATGCGTCTAAGGTTTACACTCAGGGTACATTACGGCATGTTTTCTGTGTATGACGTTCTCAATATAATTCATAATCCCACGTTTATACTGAACAACGCGTTATTGTTATTGTGTTACAAACGGTGTACACACAGAACAGAGAGGCGGGGTGAGCAAAGCTCATTATCATTTAAAGTCATATACACTGAAACGGCGTGCTGAAAACAGAGCTGTTTTTGACCAGGTAAAATAAGTGTTTTCTTACAATACTAATGAGAATTTTTAATTAAAGTATATTACAAACTTTTAATTTAGACCCTAAAGAATCATATTAGCTTGTACAAAAATGGCATTATATGACCCCTTTAAGGTGTTTCCATTCATTTTCTCAAAGAATTGCACAACATTCAAGCCAACATTTGCGAACAAAGTTTTACTAGGCAAAATGGATCGCACCATAATAACGTTTCCATCCGCGTTTATCGCATAAGCCGTATATCGATCAAGATAAAATCCGATGAGACCGATCGTATTTCATTTGAGTCGATATTCATGAAATTCAATCGAATTTTACTGTTTCCATAAGGCATTTTTCATTCGATATCACTTAATGCGGATAAAAACGTGTGGATGGAAACATAGCTACAGTCCAGCTTAAGTAAGTTCAGTGATGGTTCATTTTTGTTGTAAAAGTTATTAATTTAGTTCACACACACATATATATATATATATATATAAGAGCAGCGTAAGCGTCTCAATGAGAAACAAAATGTACAAGATTCACTCCATTATCGCTGAGGTACGGAGCCTCTAAAGGGACATGGTGATGGAAAAATCTTTATTTCAATGCTTTTGCGTTCACTCGAAAAAGTTTCTCGGGGTAAATATTGAAATATATGTATTTTTTCCATCACAAATGTCCCTTTAGGGTCTCCGTACTTCTGTGAGCAAGTAGAGCACGAGTACTCACTTTGTCGTCTTGTCGATGAGCCAGTCTTCATGTCGTGTGTGCAGTTTCTCGAGATAGTCGAGCTGAATTCCCTGTTCCTCCACTCGACCTCTTCTGCCTAGCCTCTCCATGCAGGTCTGCAGAGTACAACGGTAAAGCTGAGCATTTTATAATTAATCCTAACAAGTCCATTAACTTCACATTTATTCATTTTGAAGTCACGTTTATCTGGAGCAACTTACAGACCATTCATGTTTATGTAATACAAATAGATGTTTCTGACATGTAAACTAAGCTTAATTTCTGTTTTGACTCATTGTTGTGTCCGAGAGCTGAAAAATTAAGCCTTCGCAGATTGGAAGGAAACAAGTCACATGTTTACATCACAATCCTTCATCTGAATGCTTAAAAAAAAAGAAATGTACCCTTTGCTGACTATGATCTCCCCAGGCAGGGACGAATAAATATGGTGTCAGATAATTTACGATCCAGGATCATAAGTCACACGGTTATATTTGTGGCAATAGCCAACAAAACATTGGGTCTCATTCATGAAACATTCGTAAATATACGAGTAAATATGCGAGTGATTTGCGCGTAAAGAGACCTTCCCGAAAACTCTTCTCCTGATTCACAAATACTTCGTAAACGTCAGATGTGATAGTGAAATGTGTGTGTGTGTTAATGAATTCCAATCAGTCGTAAATGGGACGCGCGTGCACGCTCATTCTCAATTACCATAAATCCCGCCCATTAAATCCGACTGACAACTATATGGGGATCATATTATGACATGAATGCGAATGAAAAAAAAAAATTCTCAGATGCAGAAATTGAAGTTTTATTATCAGAAGTTCATTCAAAACGTCACATTTTATTTTCAAGCGTACATAGTGGCGTATCGGGTCCTAAAAAAAAGGAAGCTTGGCAGCATTACAGATGCAGTTAATGGAGTTTCATCTGTTAATCGAACATTCCCAGAAGTGAGAAGAAAATGGTTCGACATTAAGCTTGAGAGCAAAAAACGAATTAGTTCACTTCGGAAAAATAGTATTCAAACTGGAGAAGGACCACCATCGCAGATGCTATTACTGGCTCTCATAATAAGAAAAAACGTATGTAATTACTATAGATAATATTTTTTCAAAATGCTGTGCAAATATGTACCCGATTAAGGTGAATTAAAATGCAGCCTTATTAATGAGCAAAACGTTCGGGTGTTAAGTGCACTATTTAAGCGTGGCTGGGAGCAGGTGTAGATTTCTTGTGTACAAACTAACATTTGGAAAATACGAACATTTTAATGAATCCGAAAATTTACGCCAGAACCACTTTACACACGATTTACACAAAAATTCGTTCTGCTCGTGTTTCATGAATGAGACCCACTGTGTGTGCCAAAATTATATAAAGCTGTCAGTGGTCCTTTAATATTTGCTTTTTTCCCCATTAACTGAAGAAATAATCCACTGATTAAAATGTACACGTATATAATACTGTCACTGTGATATTTGATACTTTGATCTTTTCGCCTTGACCTTTCTGTTAATGTGCGAGTCATTTTCATTGGTTGAATTGAAATCCTCTCATTGCAATTAACAATTTTTTTAAAATAAAATACATTAATATTTGGCTTTTTATCCAATTTATTGAAGAAATAATCCACTGATTAACCAGTTATATAAAAAGTGCAAATAATTCACAAAAGTATTAGTGAACAAGACCCAGCGTCCGTAATAATTATCTTAATGTTTACCGCGATATTGTTGAGCATTAAAAAGTAAAAATTGGAGATGTGTGTTTGGTTGCTCATACGCTCGAGTTTGTTGAGCATTTAAAAGTGCAAGTGAACATATGTGACCCTGGATCACAAAACCAGTCACAAGTCGTATTGGTGTATTTGTGGCAGTAGCCAACGATACCATTGTATGGGTCAAAATTATCTATTTTTCTTTTATTTTTCTCAATGTTTCGATTTTTTTTGCACCCTCAGATTCCAGATTTTCCAATAGTTGTATCTCGGCCATATATTGCCCTATCCTAACAAACCACACATCAATGGAAAGCTTATTTATTCAGCTTTTATATGATGTATAAATCTCAATTTAAAAAAATTGACCCATGTGACTGGTTTTGTGGCCCAGGGTCACATTTGGTTTTTAATTGAGTTAATTATAATAATCCTGAACTCATGAATGTGATCTCACTGACTGATCAGGCTTCAGTTTTCAGACACAGCCTATATTGTACACTTTAGCATGACCTGAACACTGCATGGACCAATCAGCATCCATGACTGGAACAAACGTAAACAACAGCATATTAAACCTGACAGCACTTCTCGTGTGCATATTTGACCATCATCATCATCATCACCGTGACCTGATGAAAGCAGTGCAGACCTGTGGAGATGCTCGGAGATATATGATGCCTTCCAGTTGAACTCGATGACCAAACTGCTCCACCAGAAACGAGTGCCAATCTTGATACACAGCCCACTCTGTTGAGTTTATACAGCCGAGCTCAAACATATTTAAAGCAAAGATGTACCTGAGAGAGGAGGATACACACACTGGAAATGAACATACTTAATCATAATCATAATATACCTTTGTCAAAGAATTGTGCTTTACTTTATTGAATGTGCATCAAATCTTAAAAGTATATATTTTTAAAACCTGTACTTGCAGATAATATCATATAATCAATTAAATAAAAGGCCACTTAAAGAGTTTCTTAACACACTTAAGTGCACTTTGTAATCATGTCAAGTTAAAAGTTTCACTTTAAAGTACAACTTAAATCATTGTTTTAATGTTTTGTCGTGCTTTAAAGCACTTATTTTATTCAACTAACAAGCACATATAAAGTACTTGATTATAATTTTAACTTTAGTGTTTTATTCAATATTGCATTTAAAGTTCATATATTTTAAATGGACTAAATTGCAACTATACAAATGTGTAATTAGAATTACAAATATTATAAATTCATGACACAAGGTTCAATATATTTTAGTTTATGCTTGTCAGTACATTCAGTAGTGCACTTAAACCATATTTAATAGACAATAGTAAAAAATTACATATATGTACTTATGTGGCTCAAAAAACACTAAAGTTCAGCATTTAATATACATTAAACTATAACACGTTTTCATTTAATTGCACTTAGTGTCCAAAAATATTACATTCAGTTCTCACTTAAGTATAACCGTTTAAAGTATATTACTACCTTAATAAATACTCTAAGAATCTAAATGGTCCTTTTTAGCATTTAATAACAGGAACAATATATTATTGTTATTAATATCTGATCATCAAAAGAAGTAATGAAATTTCTGAAAAGTATATTAAAAAAAAAAGTTAATCAATATTGCCAGAAAATATTAATTTTTAACTGACACTAAGTTACAGTTGGCTTAGGACAGCATTGGGGTTGCCCTAAAGTTAAGACCGTTTTTAGGATTTTTTGTGGAGTTAGGATATTGATTTTTAACTGAGTCTCTCAGTGAGAACTGTGTTTTGATCACCTGTCACTGTAGACCGAGCGCTCGTACACACGCACCGGCGAGCCCGAGGACTGACGTGACCCGGCAGACACCGGCTGAAGATGCGAGCGCATGCGACTCATGCAGGAGAAGGTCTGGAACGTGTAGGACCAGCGCTTTGGATCATGATACATCATCTGTAACAGGTTACTGGTTGACTGCGGAGGACAGTGTTCGGTCTGCTACACAGAAAACAAGACAAAGCACACGTTGAACAGTCGTCCCAAAAGCTATTTGGATGCTAAAGGCCTCACTTCATTAGCGAAGGGGCTGGATTGAATCCTCTGCTGCTTCAATGGAGCTACTATATGTAATGAATGAGTGATTATAATCAAGGTAGTAATCAATATTTTTCCTTCTAAATATCAAATTGAGTTGAAGACATCTCTAGGCTTGTGAGATTTTACTTTGTTATAGAAGTTACCAGTGTGATTACGGAAATGTTCTTTTCATGTATTCTTTAATGTCTGTATTTGATATCTTGATATCGCTCATTTAGCCAGGCTTCCAGAAATGAAATAGGGACTTGTTTTGTGTTTGAGAAAGCTCTTCAAAGTGTTTAAGGCACCATTTCTTTGTTAAAGGGGTGGTTGATTATGGTTTCACTTTTCTAACTTTAGTTAGTGTGTAATGTTGCTGTTTGAGCATAAACAACCTCTGCAAAGTTACAACGCTCAAAGTTCAAAGCAAAGGAAGATATTTCCTTTTAAAGAAATTGCTTTTTAAGGACTATAACAAACGGCTGGTAGGAACTTTTTTTTCTTTCTTTTTTTTTGAAGAAATGTTTTACAGTAGTGCAAATATACATTTCTTAGAAATATAGAACATTTCCAAAAAAGCATCTATTATACATAGTCAAATTTGCACAATCATAGGTGAAAGAACAAAAAAAAAAAAAAAAAAAGAACAAAAAAAAAAAAAACACGGCAGAGATATAGCTCATGGTACATGAAGGATCTCATCTTATTTTTTCAGAAAAGACGTATTTTCTATTATCGATTGTTCTTAGTGATTTGATTAAATAATTGACTTCACAAAGGAAATCTTTAAAAGAAGGAATTTTCTTACGAAACCTTTGCTTGTGAAAGTAAAATTTTGCCACAATGATAAGAAAGTTAACAGTAGACTCTAAAGATTTGTTAGAGTTTTCAAAAAGACAAATTACATCCTTTAAGCATAGATTACTAATCACATTAACAATACAATAACACTTAAATCATTCCAGAAAATTGAAGAATCATCACAAGAAAAAAACAAATGACAGACGTCTTCAACTTCATTATTACAGAAGGTGCATACCTCAGCTACATCACAGTATTTGGATAAATGCGTGTTACAAGGGTATATATTATGCAAAATTTTAAAATGCACTTCTCTCATTTTATTGGGTATACAATATTTAAATGGTAGTAACCATGTTTTCCTCCACTGAATGTTATCTATTATAGAATTCCAAAAGAATTTTCCTTTTGGAGTACATAGATTTCTAGATTGAGAGAGTTGACGAATACATTTATTATTACAATCTTTACTTAAAAGTGAAACACCACCGAGACATAACAAGGATAATTGTTTAGAACATGCCTAATAGGTAAGGAAAACTTTCATCAGACATATTAAATCACTCGGAATAGCCTTTGTAACAGAGTTAAATTCTTTAAACGGGACAGGATATTGGTAGATATTCATAAAACTCTCATAGGATAACAAATCACCATTAGAGTTGAATAGATCTGCTGCAATAAAAATTATGTTTTTATTAAACCATTTCTCAAGAAAGAGTGATCTATTTCTAATTTTAACATCTTAATTATTATTCCATAAGATGGTTTTATGGGGGGAAAAGTTGTGGTTGTAAACCAATTTCCAGGCTAACAAAGCTTGTTGATGAAAACTAGCCAATTTAATGGGTAATTTACGGCTGGTAGGAACTACACAACATTCCTCCCGGGTTAGTGACATCACCAACCCTAAAATTTACATAAACCCCGCCCCCTGAACACGATTTATAGATTATCATGACAGAATATGCTAATCAATGACTAGAAGATAGACACATAAGCTACATACATTCATCCACTAACCGTTCAGAAATGTCCTGTTGCTTCTACATGTCACTTCTTGGGTCTCTCCATCATTGTCTGACTCCGGTTTGAACATATATAAAAGGCTAAAAGTTTTTGAAATTTTCTGTGCATGTGTGTGTGTGAGGTAAAACGACAAACGATCTTGAAGCTCCGCCCCCTGTGCCAGGAGCAGCAGCTCATTTGCATTTAAAGGGACAGACACAAAAACGGTGCGTTTTTGCTAACCCTCAAAAAGTGACAATTTTAACACGATATATAAAAATATCTGTGGGGTATTTTGAGCTAATACTTCATATACACACTCTGGGGACATCATAGACTTAATTTACATCTTGTGAAAAGGGCGTTCTTGCTGAAGATCAAACGTGATGCGTAACACAAGAATGAACCTCATTGGTTCTCACACGTCAAGCGAACATGAGCTTCCGTTTACCACAACTGATATGCGAGTTGATGAATGTTTATATGTGAAAAAAAGAGCCTAAATTCAATCTATTCATCATATAAAGTGATCATGTCTCTTCAGAAAATTTGGACTAAACCACTCAATTCATACGGATTAGATTTACAATCTCTTTATGAACTTTTTGAAGAGTCAAAGTGGTAACTTTAGTTGCGTAGCTGTCAATGGAGGGACTGAAATCTCTCACATTTCATCAAAAAGATCTTAATTTGTGTTCTGAAGAAATACGACAGTCTTACGGGTTTGGAACGACATGAGGGAGAGTAATTAATGAAAGAATTTCATTTTGGGGGGTGAACTGTCACTTTAAGTTTACGTCTGACTAGTCAACACTGACCTGGTTGGTTTGGTCCACATTTTGCCATTTGCTGATGGGCTCTGCTATCACTTCCCAGTCCTGTTCTGTTTTCTGTAACAGCCTGGCAAATGTTGACTTTCCGACCGCTTGAGAGATTCAGAAGACACACAAGAGGCTTTGTTGGCAGGGTAAAAAAAGGCTTTATATTACCAAAACATTGGTAACAATAAATCACACAACTAAAGCACACTCATTAACGATTTTTCTTCTAAATTGCATTACGTACCTCATAACCACCAGTATAAACATTAATAATGTAAAAAAAACAACGATATAAACAAACAAAACATACCAATGTTTCCTTCGATCGAGACCCTCTTTATTTGATCGCTTGTACTCATTTTGCACGCCAAGCGGTGAAAAGAAGAGCTCGAGAAAAGACGTATTGTCTTTCTCACACTCAACCCTAACATATTACAGAAAAATAACATTTACATCATTCATATGCAAGACCGTTTTGACCATTTTATTCGCGCCCACTAACTTAGCAAAAGCGCACTTCCGGTTACGGAATGTTGTAAGTTTCAAAATAAAAGTTCTTCCTTTTTAAGGAACGTTAAATGTCAAAATAAAAGTAATTTTTATTGGCAAATCGCAAAAATAAAAAAGTTTGAAACTTACCAACCTTACAACAACGTTAAAAGAAAAGAAAAAAATCCTTTAATACAATACTTGTTACAGTGCACTTTTTTGTAAGATGTCTTAAAATACCAACAACGCAAAATACATTAAGCTAAAAAGTTCAGCAAGTATTAATGAATAACCATTTCATCATTTAAAAAGCATTTGGGAATCTTTACCAACTTCATTGGCTAGATTCTAAATATTAACAAGTTGAAATGCTCTTCAAGAAAATCTGATTATGAACATGGTAGAAAATCATTATTGTGACAACAAATAAAATCACAAAGGAAAAATAAAATTTAGCATGAAATACTGCTGGATATAAATCTCTGAGATTTACCAACTCTTAGGATAGGTCTTGTAATAATCTTCACTGTTGAATATGCAATCACATAAGAAATGAAAACATAAAAAAAACATTTGTCTTCAAACTTGTACAAAACAATTAAAAAAGTAAAAATAAAATAAACCTCTCTCTTTTTTCCACCGAAACATTATAAAAAGCACTGTCTAAAAAAGCAGGTTTTAGTTGTACTCCCATAAAAACTAAACTCTGATATGGTTTCATATCCCAGTCCATCACCAATACATGTAAAATATAAAGGGCTACAGTGTAATACTGACAACAGAAAACCAGAGAAAATTCACACATGAATCAAGAGTTTTCAAAAAGACTTGGGGAAGCACAGCGGAGATATTGCAAAGACTATCACTGTGCACTAACAGCAATTTCAGTTTCCAAAAAGTGAACAGGAAAAAAGAAAGGCTCTCTGGAAAATGCATTACGGCTGCCGAATATGGTATTAATACCAGTTTCTATCTGTCCTTGCTGCCTAGTTTCTCAATAAGGTCCTGAAGGGGTGCCAGCTCTCTGCGGTCGATGAGATTGAACTCCTAAAAAGAATAATCAAAAACAGTAATCAGTTCAAGAAGAGTCTTGCCCAAACAATTAAGGTACATATCGCGACCTGCCCCTCTGTGTATCTGTTTTACTACCCCCGTTTCTGTTTGTTGTTCTTTTTAATTAGGTACATAAGGTTCTCTTGAGTATGTGTTGTGTTTGAAACATTTCAGGGTTTTGTTCTTCAATATCCTATGGAAGCTTGTTTCAGCCACTGAATAAAAATAAATAAATAGCGACTTTTTCATCTCACAATTGCGAGATATGAAGTCAGAATTGTGAGAAATAAAGTCGCAATTGCGAGATCTAAAGTCGCAATTATGAGAAAAAAAGACAGAATTGAGACTTTTTATCTCACAATTCTGACTTTATAACACATAATTGTGAGTTTAAATCTCGAGATGACATCTTTTCTCAGAATTGTGAGATATAAACTCACAATTGCCAGTTATCAGGCCAATTCTAAGGAAAAAAAAGACTGACTTTTCTCCCCCTCAGAATAGTTTATATCTCACAATTCTGACTTTACAACACGCAATTGCGACTTTATATCATGCATTTATGACTTTATATCAATCAATTCTGACTTTATATCAATCAATTTTGACTTTATATCTCGCAATTGCGACTTTATATCACGCAATACTGACTTTATATCAATCAATTCTGACTTTATAACACGCAATTGCGACTTTATATCACGCAATTCTGACTTTATATCTCGCAATTCTGACTTTATATCTCGCAATTCTGACTTTATATCTCGCAATTCTGACTTTATATCTCGCAATTCTGACTTTATATCTCGCAATTCTGACTTTATAACACGCAATTCTGACTTTATAACCTGCAATTGCGACTTTATATCACGCAATTCTGACTTTATATCTCGCAATTCTGACTTTATATCACGCAATTCTGACTTTATATCTCGCAATTCTGACTTTATATCTCGCAATTGCGACTTTATATCACGCAATTCTGACTTTATATCTCGCAATTCTGACTTTACAACACGCAATTCTGACTTTACAACACGCAATTCTGACTTTATAACCTGCAATTGCGACTTTATATCACGCAGTTCTGACTTTATATCTCGCAATTCTGACTTTATATCTCGCAATTCTAACTTTATATCTTGCAATTCTGACTTTATATCTCGCAATTCTGACTTTATATCTCGCAATTCTGACTTTATATCTCGCAATTCTGACTTTATATCACGCAATTCTGACTTTATATCACGCAATTCTGACTTTATATCACGCAATTCTGACTTTATATCACGCAATTCTGACTTTATATCACGCAATTCTGACTTTATATCTCGCAATTCTGACTTTATAACCTACAATTGCGACTTTATATCACGCAATTCTGACTTTATATCTCGCAATTCTGACTTTATATCAATAAATTCTGACTTGATATCTCGCAATTCTGACTTTATAACCTGCAATTGCGACTTTATATCACGCAATACTGACTTTATAACCTACAATTGCGACTTTATATCACGCAATTCTGACTTGATATCTCGCAATTCTGACTTTATATCAATAAATTCTGACTTGATATCTCGCAATTCTGACTTTATAACCTGCAATTGCGACTTTATATCACGCAATTCTGACTTTATAACCTACAATTGCGACTTTATATCACGCAATTCTGACTTTATAGCTCGAAATTGTGACTTTATAACACGCAATTGCGACTTTATATCTTGCAATTCTGACTTTATATCTCGCAATTGCGACTTTATAGCTCGCAATTCTGACTTTATAACACGCAATTGCGACTTTATATCACGCAATTCTGACTTTATAACCTACAATTGCGACTTTATATCAATCAATTCTGACTTTATATCTCGCAATTCTGACTTTATAACACGCAGTTGCGACTTTATATCACGCAATTCTGACTTTATATCTCGCAATTCTGACTTTATAACACGCAATTGCGACTTTATATCACCCAATTGTGACTTTATATCACGCAATTGTGACTTTATATCTCGCAATTGTGACTTTATATCTCGCAATTCTGACTTTATAACACGCAATTGTGACTTTATAACACGCAATTGCGACTTTATATCACGCAATTCTGACTTTATATCTCGCAATTCTGACTTTATATCTCGCAATTGTGACTTTATATCTCGCAATTCTGACTTTATAACACGCAATTGTGACTTTATATCACGCAATTCTGACTTTATAACACGCAATTGCGACTTTATATCACGCAATTCTGACTTTATAACCTACAATTGCGACTTTATATCAATCAATTCTGACTTTATATCTCGCAATTCTGACTTTATAACACGCAGTTGCGACTTTATATCACGCAATTCTGACTTTATATCTCGCAATTGTGAGAAATTAAGTCAGAATTGCAAGATGTAAACTCGCAATTGTGAGAAAAAAAGTCAGAATTGTGAGATTTCTGCAATTGCCTTTTTATTTTTCATTCTGTGGCGGAAACAAGCTTCCATAACATCCTGCCTTTTCAAACTCTAAATAAAACTAACTATAGGAACTACTGGATGTGTGTTAATGCACTGACCTGTACAAAGAAGATAAAATGCTTGAAGGAGGTGTTGAGGTGAGCTTCCTCCTGAAGCTGCATGACCGAGTCAAAGTGCTGGTGGTAAATATGAGCATAAACCCTGAACAGACGCTTCAGAATAGTCTTAGCCACGGACATGAAGTTCTTGGGAAACGGAACGCCTGGAAGGAGTAAAGTTGATTTGAGAAGTTCTTTATGTGGCCGGGCCTGTATGAAAAATGTTGCACTGCAAATTCAGAACAAATGGATTGGATCAAACAAACCGATCTTGGATGGGAAGAGGGTTTCGTCGTCCAGCTGATCCTGAACCCAGGTCATCAAGTAGTCAATGTACTTGGGCGCAGAACACTTGATGGGTTTTTTGATGTTGGTCCCGTCTGCCCAGTGATATTCATACCTATTGATTTATCAGGCAAGACATAGATATTTTATACACAATATTTTTTTGTATACCATTAATACTCTATTTATTGTATATATATATATATATATATATATATATACAGGTGAAACTCGAAAAATTAGAATATGGTGCAAAAGTTAATTAATTTCAGTAATTCAACTTAAAAGGTGAAACTAATAAATTATATAGACTCATTACATTCAAAGTGAGATATTTCAAGCCTTCATTTGTTACAATTTGTGTGATTATGGCTCACAGCTTATGAAAACCCCAAAGTCAAAATTAGAATATTGTGAAAAGGTTTTCATATCTGTGAGCCATAATCATCAAAATAATAACAAATAAAGGCTTGAAATATCTCACTTTGCATGTAATGAGTCTATATAATATATTAGTTTCACCTTTTAAGTTGAATTACTGAAATAAATAAACTTTTGCACCATATTCTAATTTTTCGAGTTTTTTCTAATTTTTCGAGTTCGACCTGTATATATATTCAGAACAATTAATCTCATCTAACATAAATGTTTGTGTGTGTGTGTGTGTGTGTGTGTGTGTGTGTGTGTGTGTGTGTGTATATATATATATATATATATATATATATATATATATATACTTTATGTGTGTGTGTGTGTGTGAGTGTATATATATATATATATATATATATTGTTTGTTTGACTTTATTGTCTGTTCAGATTTACTGGACAGAAATTCATCTTTGACACTGGTATCAAGACATAAAACAAATGATTGAGCACTCATACATAAATAAAAAAAATTAATACAACATGTACATGTTCACACACCTATAGTACCCGCCTCAATTGAGAATTTGATTTAAAACAGTCACCGCCAATGGAACAAAATGATCTTTTGTAAATGTTCTTTTTGGCAAACGGTATACATAGCCTACGCCCCGAAGGAAGGACCTCAGAGCATGAGTAGAGGAGGAGAGTCTGATCTGAATATGCTAGCGCCCTTTTCTCCATGAAATCTGAAAACAGCTCTTGCAATGTACTCTGTTTCTGGCCGATAATTTTATTCGCCTCTTTAATTACTCGTGTTAATTTGTTCTTCTGTCTCATTGTTAAATTTCCATACCATGATACAATATTATAAGTTAAAACACTTTCGATCATAGATCTTTAAACTCCAATCAATGCCAACATTTCTAAGCTTCCTAAGTAGACTTAAACGCTGTCTAGTTTTCTTATGTGTATGGTCCACCACATTCTCCTGAAACAAAAGCATGTCATCAATGATTGTACCTAGATATTTAAAATTTGAGACTTGCTTTATCTTTATACCTTTTATAATAACGTGTTCATATGGGGGGCCAGCTATGCCTTTCCTGTTTTGATTCCCACAGCATAGTTCCTGTGTCTTCTCTATGTTCAACCGTAGATGACTGTTGTCAAACCATTGTACTTTCCAATACACTCAAAATAGGTAGAACAATTCTTATCTGTTTGGCAAGAGATTAAAACCAAATCATCTGCGTATTTGATCAGGGTGAGATCATCCGCATTACACCGAAGCTCGTTAATATAGACAGAGAAAAGCAGAGGGGATAATACACAGCCCCGTGGTAACCCTGTATTTAAAACACATATACCGGTATGTACACACATCTATTATATAAACACAAACATTTATGTTAAATGTGATTAATCCCTATTAATTGACTTGACAGTTCTATTATATAATATATATATATATAATTATCTTCGATTAGAAGCACACCTTTTTGTTGCTTGGCACAAATACTGTTTTTATACAGTATATATAGATATATATATATATAAAATATACTATGTTTTATATTGTATATATATATACATATAAGTTTTATAAGTTAAATACTGTTTTTATGCAGTATATATACACACTATTCTTTATATATATATATATATATATATATATAGTATTATATATATATATACTGTATAAAAACAGTATTTGTGCCAAGCAACTTAAAGGTGTGCTTCTAATCGAAGATAATTTATCTTTTTCGCCTTTTGAAACTTACCAACCTCATAACAACCTTAAAACAAATCTTTTACTACAATAATTGGTTAAAATCTAACTTGACTAACTTACTTTAAAAATACATATATATAAATATTTATGTTTTAATGAACAAGGCAGCATAATCATGTATGCTACCAGTTTTTCACCCTACTATTCATTTGTTATTTCATTCAAGGAAAATACTAAAGCATCGAAGAGACGCTGAATAATTTTACCTGGGTCCTGCAGACATAACAGAACAACTGGTTTCTGTGCAAAATTCAGTGATCGTGCCATAGAGCATGTTGATCTGGTTGAAAAAGTCCACAGCTGAAATAAATGGGTAAGGATTACATGTTATAATCATGATTAAATCAATTATTTTCTCAACAATACTTCCATACACACTCACTATTGACTGCAATCCACTCATTAAGGTCTTCTCCCTCCGGTAACATCACAGCAGCTCGAAGATTACCACTTCCTAAAGTGGCTTCTGCGTGTTTCAGAAGTTCATACTGGTGAGAGCCTTCTGGGATATTTTTCTTGGGCTTGAATGTCTTTGATGAACGGTTTCCACTACAATAATAACAAAATAAGTCACATGTTGCATCAAGTGAGAAAAATGCAGAGATGTGGTTAAAATTGATTACACAAGATATCAACTGAACACGAGGGTTAGAACTGAAAAGAAGAAGATTTGCAATTCAAAAAACGCTGAGTCGAAACTTTCATGCTTTTTATACAGAAAATATAAAACATTTGTACATGTATTAGGGAAAATAATGTATGCCAGGAGTAAAAAAAAGAGACTTTTTAATATTATCTAAAGCAGTGCCATATTTTTAAATTTATTTTATATAATGTTCACAGTTATGCTTAGCCCATTTCGTCACATGAATGTGATATTTTCCAAGTAAAATAAAAAGTTATATGAGAATTTGTTTTACTTTTCGAAACAATGTTTTAAAAAAGAATATGACGTAGACAGATCAATTTGTATTAATGTTACAGCCTAGAAATGAAGTTAGAGACATATCCAGCCCAAATCATCTCGAATATACACATTCAAAGAAAAGATGGATCATAGATTGCTATAAAGCAAAAATTCACGAGTCTTCCATATCCAAATTAAAGGAACTTTTCATGCTTGTGTATTGAACAGAGCATATGTTTACGCCATATTCCGAACACAGGAACAAATATGTCGACCGGAAATGTTGTTAGTTTTAAAAGTTTAATGTTATCGGAAATGTTTATTGGTTTATTTTTTTGCTGGGTGAACTTCCACATTACATATTATCAGCAATATGCGATTATGAAAAAGAAAGTATAAACAGTCGCAACGGCTAAATACTTACAATAAGAAACTCATATCCGCTTCTTTTCTGTCCTCTTAAAACTTTTATAAGGCGATACGAATGTCTACTGCGATAAAGTTAATCCTCAAAGGCCTTTAAACACTATTTATAAGTAGGCCTACTCTTCGAAGGTCGATGTTTCACAGACGAAAGATATAAGTAGGCGTAGTAGACAGATTCAGGAAATGTCTACGATTGGTTCCCTTTAAGTGATATGAAACCATAGAAATAAAACGCTTAAGTTACGTGCTGACTAAGCTGACTCCTTATCTATAGGAATCGGATATTGTTACGATTTTGTTTGGTACTTTTAACTACAATTACATAATTATTAGTACAACTGTAAGTTAAAATTCGCCGTCTGCCAAAACCTTATATTTAAACTGCGCATGCGCATTTCGAATCAAGGGGCGGTAGTTAGTTTCTCATCGGGGATCATGTAGTGACGCTATATAGCCAGTAGCCACGCATAGGGGCATTGGGGTTAAAAACGTACTCTAAATGATAGTCTGAACACATTTCTGCCTTATTTCCACCTGATCTGTTTTGGGTCACATACGTACGCCTTAGCTGTTTTCAATATTTTACTCTTATTTGTTTATATTAAGCACCATGGCTACACTCCGGGCGTTGCGGAAACTATGCCGGCATTTTCATCATCAGGCATGTAGTTTTCATTTGTCATCTTCAAGGTAAGTGTCCAAGAGCTGTCCTCTCTCATTCGTGTATAGAATAAGTTATAGAATAAGAATAAGGGATACGAGTGTCACTGTGTTGATCCGCTCTCGATAAACTGGTTGTCATATATAACAGCGGAACTGTACATCTTTATTACCTCTGTTGTAATTCTCTCACTATTTCACGTGGTTTATTTGTAAAAGCATGTCACATGAGACTTGCTCTCGATGGTTTGGTTATGTTACGTAACAAAAGCCGGTTTAATTGTTCACTTCATCTGCGCGCCCCCGATCAGCGCGCGCGGCTGATGTAATGTCACAAACTGCTTGCATGCAGCCGGCGTCAAGTTTCTAATTTCTATGCTCATGTGTTGGTGATTTGTAGTGATCGTTATGCATGATGGCTCAAATTGAGCACGTACCCGTTTTCATTTATGCTCCGCGTCGTCAGTGATTTAGTGGAATTAATTTAGCTGTGCTGACAAAATTACACACACGTGATAAATGCGTAAATTAAAGTCACTATGAAATCAAAATCGACCATTATCAGTATTTATCCGTGCACTTTTTTTTTTTAGTTCATGTGCCCTCGAAATAAAATAAAATAAAATAAACACTCTTGCAAGGACATCTCATCTCTGATGACGTGTTTACTGGCGCGTGGGCGGGACAACATGTCACTCACATGAGATCCACCAATATCAAACCACAGTGATCCAAGTCCCGCCTACTTTGTTTCTTAATTGTTTTCTACGTTTTACTCGTGTATGCATTACAATGGGGAAGAAAAGACTATCATGCCAACTTTCAAAGTGTTTTCTGTGTAAAATAAAGTAGTTAAAAAAAAGCAGTATTTATATTGTGCTTAATGATGTCTTTTGTTACCAGTCCAGACTAAGAAAAAGCTAGCGAAAACAACTCAATCGCGAGTAATCAACTTTTATGTCGAGATCACAAGAAATACATTTGTGGGAAAAGCTAATTTTGTTTGAGAAAACAATTTGTGGATTCTTAAATCTTCCATTGGTTGTCAGCTTAACGGCAAATGCCTTTATCAAAATTGACATAGATTTCAAAGTATGCATTTTATCAGTTCACGCATTGTCCATGACTCCATGTCTATCGCTTTCATTGGGAAATTTCAGAGTCAAAATATGATACACCGGTGTTTTGCCAGATGAGAAGTTTATTCTATGTATCATCTTTTTACTATTTTAATTCATTTTACTCTAATTCATTTTATAACTGTATAATTTATCTCCTTTAATTCCTTTTATAACTGCTTTAATTCCCCCTGCTTTTATTTTGTGTATATTTTCTATGCAAAGCTCTATGAATGAATTGCTATAATGTGATTATTATAATTCCTCTCTATGTAAAGCACTTTGAATTGCCATAGTGTATGAAATGTTATAAATAAACTTGCCGTGCCTTGCTCTTCATTTTGACTTCTGATTGAAAATATGCCTTTTCAAAGCATCATGTAAAACTGTGTAGAACACATTTCCATGGACTGCTATATTAGGCCTTATGTATACAAATTATTTAATATATATATTTTTTGTTGCTATTGGATCAATGCTCCTACATTTAACAATTTAGAAGTCGCTCTTTACAAGTGATGCAAGAATGCTCTGACATTCTTCAATGTGGCCTGTTATCTTCAGTTATTGTCCATAAGTCTTCATTTAGACGAGTCTATCACACCAGCGCAGAGCTTATCTTTAGATCACAGCTGTGAGTGTTCGACTGCCAGTGTCAATCGCTGGTTTCATGGAGTGTTTGAGGATATTGTATGAACAGATAAATTGGTAACACTTTACAGTAAGGTTCATTAGTTAACTACATTACTTAACAAGAACTGCACGTATACAGCATTCATTAATCTTTGTTAAAGGTGCCCTAGAATGTTTTTATTTATTATTTTATAATGTTTCCTGGGTTGCCCTTATAATGTTAGTATGTTTTTTTGATCAAAAATAATCATAATTTAGAAATAAATGGCATTTTTCCTAGCCTGCTTTTAGCCTCTGATTTGAACACTCTGTTTGAAGGGGCGTGTCTGCTGTGGGATTCAGTGTAACCGCGGCCACTGCTGTGATTGGCTGACATGCTTGCATATGAAATAGCTACGCATTACATGTGAAACTCTCTCGATTACTTTTACTACTGCTATTATACGTTTTTACTATAACAGCTATCGAGATTAACGAATCGAGAGATGTTTTTAAAGTATTTAGATCTATTCCCATCACATAAAATGTTGCCGTGATGAGCATTGAGCAGATGACAGTGTGTTGATCGCGAGAATGAAGATCTTATCATTGCAAAGCAGTTTCTGCACTCTCTCTAATGCTTTCACCAATGCAAACACGATGATGTAAATACAGTAAGAGCTTCGTTGTGCAGTAACGTGCGTCATTGATTTCATAACGAGTTTGGCAAGTGTCCAGATAAACTCGCGCTGTGTGGAAAGATTGTTCTTTGATCGCTTTCTGTATATAATTTGTTCACAATTTAAATACGATTATTTTCATCCTACTAAAAGAAACGATGTGAAGTTGATATTTTAGTCACTGGCTTGACTAACTGATGCATAAACAGTATTGAACGATTTTGAGAGAAAGATTACCTGTCTGAACTTGAACAATTACACATCAGAAAGTGTTGCTTGGTAGCTCGATCCGAGGCCAGCTCTGTATTGGCCCAAGTTGAGGAAACAGTCGGTGAAATGTTCGGAAATTTCCAGAGAAAATAAAATTAACCCATTGTTTCTTCAGAGGCTCAGATAAAGGAACTAAAAAATACTTTTGTGTTCATGTGTACATCCAAACACTGAGCAACTGCCATGCTTCGGCTGCGCAGTTCCGCCTGACATTGAACATAGGCTGGCATATGCAAATATTTGGAGGCGTACATATTAATGATCCCGACTGTTGCGTCACAGTCGGATATATGTGGAGATTCGCCTGTTTTTCAGGGGTGTTTTTCAAAAACGAGATTTAACTAAGAAGGAGAAAACAATGGTGTTTGAGACTCACTGTATGTCATGTCCATGTACTGAACTCTTGTTATTTAACTATGCTAACATAAATTTTATTTCACATTCTAGGGCATTTCAACATTTAAATCTTGTTAACATTAGTTAATGCACTGTGAACTAACATGAACAAACAATGAACAGCTGTATTTTTTTATTAACTAACATTAGCAAAGATTAACAAATACAGTAACAGATGTATTGCTCATGGTTTGTTCATGTTAGTTAATACATTACCTAATGAATCTTATTGTAAAGTGTTACCGATACATTTCACCTGGGGGAAAAAGCGTTCAGATCAGAAGCAAAATTGTAGTTGAAATTTTGCCCTCCTTTTATTCTCCAGACAAGATGCTGTGATCATCTCGGGCAGAAAACTGGCGCGTCAGATCCGCAACGAGGCGCGTGCCGATGTGGAGGAGTGGGTGTCCGCTGGGAACCGAAGACCTCACCTGAGCGTAGTGTTGGTGGGAGATAATCCAGCCAGTCACTCGTATGTTCTCAATAAGACCCGTGCAGCAGCAGAAGTGGGTAAGATACCAGTTATCTGCTCCCATCAGACTTTAATGAACTGTAACGTTTCGACCAGACAAGGTTGTCGTCAGGTGCAATCAGATATCAAGGGGGTGTTTACACGACACCGTTTTCAACTGAAAGGCCTGTTCACACCCCGGGACGAATTTCGCGCGCGATATTCGCCGACGTTTAACGCCTCGTGATTAAGCAAAGGGCGCCAATGTGAGTGTGCACACCGACACGAAAAACGCCACGCGTAAAAGCGGCATTTAAAAAAAAAAAAAAAAACGCTTTGGGTTCGTTTTTTTGGTTTGACGCCGCGTCAAAAACTATCCGACCAATGAGATTGGCGCTTTTGCTCACGTGTCTGGAGCTTCTGAAGTTACAATAAAACACAACTTGGGGGCGCTCAAACACAAAACGGTTTTGCCGAGCACACACACGTAATGGCGAAGAAGATATACGCCAAGTAGCGTCTACACTGCCGGGAAGAAATAAGACGAGGAAGATGCAAGGCAAGATGAATGTAGAGCTGCTGGTCTCGCTGGTGTCGGAACATAAAGAACTATATGACAAACGCGACAGCGACTACAACATAGGACTATTTCTGTTTTACAGTAAGCGCCATCTAATGTCAGGGAATGAATTTGCATGTTCACTCGGCTCATCGTCAGTGAAAATCGCTTGAGTGTGAACACAAAAAACGCGTTGAAAAACGCTGGCGAATAACGCGTGCTGATATTCGTCCCGGTGTGTACGGCCCTTAAGAGTGAAAACTTTTACACGACAACAGCGTTTTGGGGGCCTGAAAACACAAACTTTTGAAAATGTGTTTCAAAGTGCAAGTTTTTGAATTCGAGACCGTTATCGTCTTCGTGTAAACTACAAAAACACCAATTTGTGGAAACCGTGACGTCATGTGCATGCGATGCGTGTTCAGTCTATAGGCGCGTAGTGTTTCTTTACAAAGTGACATCACTATCTACTGGACTGGCAGGAGAATACAGCGTTTTTAATCGTTTTCGTGGATCTGTGTGGGAAAAAATTTATGTCCCCCTGTAGTCAGTATTTTTATCCCTTAAAACTCATATTTGATCACCAAAATTACATATTTAAATGTTTTTTCCTTGAAAAATAAATTGTCATGCCTTAAAATAGTTTGAATGTAACTCAACACCCTTGCCTCATTTAGTATACGTGGTTCTATGAATATGCAAATGAGCCCCGCCTCCACTCACTCACTCAGCTCAGAGATCCACTGGTTGACGATCACACGTTGATCTGATTGGTAACAAGGTCGTTTGTGACGTCAGAAACACCAGCGATTTCAAACCGTGTTTTTGAGACTGTCTTTGGTTCACTGCAGTTTTAAGCAGAAAATACTCAGCAATGCTGTCGACTTATGAATTTACACATGGTTTGTCTTAAAGCATATTAAAAACACCACATAGACGTATAAACAACATTAAAAGCTTGATTTTCACCTCAGGGGGGACTTTAAAGGAGCTGTATGTACGATTGTGGCCAAAACCGGTACTGCAATCACTTTCAAATTACTGTAGAGCGGTGTATCCCCTCCCCCTCCCCCCTGACTCGAGGTTGCCAGATTGGCTGCATTTTTTTATCCGACACGTGTGTAGCTGCAGCTGTGGTAACTAGAGCAGAGCTGGCAACCCGGATGGCGCAACACTACTGACTTTGTGAATGGTCGATAGGTGGAGGGTGGAGCATCAGACCAAAACACAACATGACAACATCAACATCAGTTGAGGGCTGCAACTTCACTTTTTAAATGACAATATCCTGGCCGGACTACTGTTGTCAGTGATATAAGTATTTGAAATGAACATGATTTCTCAATGTCTAGTGACATATCAGGGCCATTTTATGATTAATTCAAATAAATTTCTTACATACAGCTCCTTTAAATAAGGCATATACACCACCAGTTAAAAGTCTGGAGCCGGTTGCACCAACAGGGCTTTACTAAGCCTGGTCCTAACTGCTAAGTAGGTCTTAGTTAAGACCAGTCTTTAGAGTTGACCTAACGTCGGTTGCACCAACCAAACTTAAGCCTAGGCTTAACTACGCCTGGTCTTAGCGTTGCGTGTTCATGTGAATGGCCATGGAACTCTAGCGGTTGCCTCGCAGCGTGCGTTGCTGGGTTATGCTGTAAACAATCTTCCGCTGTTTTGTTAACTTGTAGCCGTATCAATGGAGGATCAAAGAAAAAGGAAAGGAAATTTCACCGACATTGAAATACGAAAGTTAATAGAGCTGTACAGTCAGCACGTGACAATTCGCTTCATTCGCGGCAGCATTACGTCTGTCTCCTGCACGCGAGAGGAGAGGTAGAACGTTGGTAATAAATGTCAGTTCAATTGTAAGTTCATTCTTTATGTGCTGAGGAGTGCTATGTATCGTATTCGTCTATGATGATATTGTAATCATTGTTTTAACTATGGACGAGGCACATTTGTTTCTCGTGCTTGTTTTCACTGCGTGATGTGTCACTGCAGTTATAGGTATGTCCCCAAATAAGTTTTTTGTCTTATATTTATATCATATTATGTTATTAAAAGTGCCGTTTTCATGTGCACAATTGCAAATGTGATATTTATTTTATACAACAGTTAAATTAACAATAAGTTAACATTGTGAGTTACTTTTTAGACACAATATTGTGAATATTATGTTTGTTTCCCCTTTATTTCGCTGACGAGAATTTCAAAATGAAACCGTAGCAGTCTCCATGCAACAGACAGCGAAGATTTTTTTTAACGAATCATTTTAACGATTCAATGAACAATCACTTGCTTTTAGTGCAAAATCACTTCACTTTAACATTATCTGTCGGAAAACGGATAGGCCTATTAACGCTATTATATGCCTAGATTTTGACTTTACGCCTGCTACTGACTAGGCGTAAGATTTACGCCCAGTCTTAGCGAGAAGAGGACTTAAGCCTGGATGGTGCAACAGTCGTAAAGTTGGGTCGGACTTAGAATGCTGAGTTAAGACCTACTTACCTTAAAGGGGTCATATAATGGTACATGCACTTTTACAAGTTGATTGTACTGAAATGTGTGTTGGCAGTGCCTGTACACAACCATCATATAATGATAAAAATCCATCCAGTGGTTTTGTTTTAATCTCCTTATATGTTTTCCCCTGCCTCAAATCGAGCCGTTCGTTTTTGTGACGTCAATAAAACGGACGCCCCTCCCACGATTGTTGATTGACGGGAGCGTTTCAACTCAGACCCGCCCTCGCTCGTGAGCTAGCTGTCAATCATAGTCTGCGCGGATCGGCGCGGTCATTGTTGATATGCTGGAGCACTGTCTATGAGCAGAATGGCGTCTAAGCGATTGTGGTGTTCTGTTCTTGGGTGTAATAACGAACAGAGTCATTTTAATGTTCCTAAATCCGAACCGCTGAAGACGCAGTGGCTGAGTTTGTTTTCGAAGGGAATATTCCACACGAGCAACGTCAATGCTCTCATGTTTGCGCGAATCATTTCACACACCAGACTGCTTTATAAACGAGGGTCAGTATAAAGCTGGATTTGCTAAGAAGCTTTGCTAAAAAGGATCGGTACCAGATATTCGTGTTCCTGCTGAACCTCCAGAAGAACGGAAGTGAGTGAAACGTTTTATTAAACTTTATATTAATATATTAATCTTTGCAAATCGCTAGCTGCACGCTTCACAATGAATGCGCCTAAGGTTTACACTCAGTCAGGGTACATTACGGCATGTTTTCTATGTATGACGTTCTCAATATAATTCATAATCCCACGTTTATACTGAACAACGCGTTATGGTTATTGTGTTATTGTGTTACAAACGGTGTATGCGCAGAACAGAGGGGCGGAGTGAGCAAAGCTCATTATCATTTAAAGTCATATGCACTGAAACGGCGTGCTGAAAACAGAGCTGTTTTTGACCAGGTAAAATAAGTGTTTTCTTACAATACTAATGAGAATTTTTAATTAAAGTATATTACAAACTTTTAATTTAGACCCTAAAGAATCATATTAGCTTGTACAAAAATGGCATTATATGACCCCTTTAAAACCAGGCGTAAGCCCTGTTGGTGCAACTGGCCCCTGGACCGTTTGATATAAAGGCTAGAAGGGTTAGTTCACCCAAAAACTTGCCCTCATGTCAATCGAATCTTTGAAACAAATAAAGATATTTTTAATGAATCCTGAGAGTCTTCTGTCCCTCCACTGAAAGTCCACACTAACCAAAATATCATAAAATTGGTTTTAAAAGTAATCCATATGAATCCAAATCTTCCAAAGAGACAGAGCAGATCAAATATGGTAAAGGAAGTGCAGATGTGTTTCCAACGTGAGTAAATGATGACAGAGTTTTCATTTTTGGGTGAACTATCCTTTTGAACTATTTCATTTTTGGGTGAACTATTTGGGTGAATTTTTATTTTTTAAATTTTTTTTAATGGTTTATCAGAACGGATAGTATCTGAAAAGCAGCTGTGAGTTTTGGTATTGCTGTAGCATGTCTATGTAAGCGATGAGTGTCACTTTCCGCCGTTGGCTGAATACAGTTTGCAAATCTATTTTGAGTGTACATATGACTCCTTACAGTCCTCACGCTGGTGAGGGGCCTTACATTGGTCCCTATTGACATTAGTACATCCACATTTTCTCATAAATGCGTGACATTTTCTTCAGTGGAATGGAATACCCTACATAACTTTTAAACTCTTTACTGATTTTAAAACACCAGGCATCATACACCTGCAACTTTGTGCATCATGAACTAAAGACACACTACCAGACTTTTAAGTCATTCTGAACACAAGCTCGTGCAGAAACATGATGCTAGGAGAAGTGCAGCAAATGAAAACAATATCGCTGACTGTGTCCGAAATCAAATAGTTTATAGTATGTGAAAGGCGAAACTTCCGGCGAGATTCTGAAATGCGCATATGATGGACACTTTACTATCCCATGAGGCCACAGGAGAGGATTTATGAGTTTGAGTGAAGCGACGCAACTGACGCTGGTATTAAACATGATGTAGTAGCCTACATCTGGATTACATTCATACTAAGCCCCTCCCCTCCGCTTCCGGCTCATGGGACCTTATTTCGGAAAAAATATGTATGGTAGTCAATGGCGAGAGACAACTTATCTTTTTATTCCGTCTGAACTGTGCCCTGAATCACACATATGATGTTTGTCAATTTAAAAGATAATTATGAAAGTCAAGAAAGTCACAGTTTGTGATAAAACAGAAGAGTAACATTTAGTTTTATGTGGAAATCGCTCAATGAACTACATCTCCCGGGAAGCGAAACAACGAGCGAGATCCGCTGCTCGTGTGTGTGCAGTCTGGTACAAAACACTCGATGACGGCGTAACGTTACGATTATAACGTAAGACTATAGAAACAATGACAGACGTTAGCTTCAGTAAAGTTAGCTTCAGTAAAGTTAGCTTCAGTAAAGTTAGCTTCAGTAAAGTCAGCTTCAGTAAAGTTAGCTTCAGTAAAGTCAGCTTCAGTAAAGTCAGCTTCAGTAAAGTCAGCTTCAGTAAAGTCAGCTTCAGTAAAGTTAGCTTCAGTAAAGTCAGCTTTAGTAAAGTTAGCTTCAGTAAAGTTAGCTTCAGTAAAGTCAGCTTCAGTAAAGTCAGCTTCAGTAAAGTCAGCTTCAGTAAAGTCAGCTTCAGTAAAGTTAGCTTCAGTAAAGTTAGCTTCAGTAAAGTCAGCTTCAGTAAAGTCAGCTTCAGTAAAGTCAGCTTCAGTAAAGTCAGCTTCAGTAAAGTCAGCTTCAGTAAAGTCAGCTTCAGTAAAGTCAGCTTCAGTAAAGTCAGCTTCAGTAAAGTCAGCTTCAGTAAAGTCAGCTTCAGTAAAGTCAGCTTCAGTAAAGTCAGCTTCAGTAAAGTCAGCTTCAGTAAAGTCAGCTTCAGTAAAGTCAGCTTCAGTAAAGTCAGCTTCAGTAAAGTCAGCTTTAGTAAAGTTAGCTTCAGTAAAGTTAGCTTCAGTAAAGTCAGCTTCAGTAAAGTCAGCTTCAGTAAAGTCAGCTTCAGTAAAGTCAGCTTCAGTAAAGTCAGCTTCAGTAAAGTCAGCTTCAGTAAAGTCAGCTTCAGTAAAGTTAGCTTCAGTAAAGTTAGCTTCAGTAAAGTCAGCTGCAGTAAAGTCAGCTGCAGTAAAGTCAGCTTCAGTAAAGTCAGCTTCAGTAAAGTCAGCTTCAGTAAAGTCAGCTTCAGTAAAGTCAGCTTCAGTAAAGTCAGCTTCAGTAAAGTCAGCTTCAGTAAAGTTAGCTTCAGTAAAGTCAGCTTCAGTAAAGTCAGCTTCAGTAAAGTCAGCTGCAGTAAAGTCAGCTGCAGTAAAGTCAGCTGCAGTAAAGTCAGCTTCAGTAAAGTCAGCTTCAGTAAAGTTAGCTTCAGTAAAGTTAGCATCAGTAAAGTTAGCTTCAGTAAAGTCAGCTTCAGTAAAGTCAGCTTCAGTAAAGTCAGCTTCAGTAAAGTCAGCTTCAGTAAAGTCAGCTTCAGTAAAGTCAGCTTCAGTAAAGTCAGCTTCAGTAAAGTCAGCTTCAGTAAAGTCAGCTTCAGTAAAGTCAGCTTCAGTAAAGTCAGCTTCAGTAAAGTCAGCTTCAGTAAAGTCAGCTTCAGTAAAGTCAGCTTCAGTAAAGTCAGCTTCAGTAAAGTCAGCTTCAGTAAAGTCAGCTTCAGTAAAGTCAGCTTCAGTAAAGTCAGCTTCAGTAAAGTCAGCTTCAGTAAAGTCAGCTTCAGTAAAGTCAGCTTCAGTAAAGTCAGCTTCAGTAAAGTCAGCTTCAGTAAAGTCAGCTTCAGTAAAGTCAGCTTCAGTAAAGTCAGCTTCAGTAAAGTCAGCTTCAGTAAAGTCAGCTTCAGTAAAGTCAGCTTCAGTAAAGTCAGCTTCAGTAAAGTCAGCTTCAGTAAAGTCAGCTTCAGTAAAGTCAGCTTCAGTAAAGTCAGCTTCAGTAAAGTCAGCTTCAGTAAAGTCAGCTTCAGTAAAGTCAGCTTCAGTAAAGTCAGCTTCAGTAAAGTCAGCTTCAGTAAAGTCAGCTTCAGTAAAGTCAGCTTCAGTAAAGTCAGCTTCAGTAAAGTCAGCTTCAGTAAAGTCAGCTTCAGTAAAGTCAGCTTCAGTAAAGTCAGCTTCAGTAAAGTCAGCTTCAGTAAAGTCAGCTTCAGTAAAGTCAGCTTCAGTAAAGTCAGCTTCAGTAAAGTCAGCTTCAGTAAAGTCAGCTTCAGTAAAGTCAGCTTCAGTAAAGTCAGCTTCAGTAAAGTCAGCTTCAGTAAAGTCAGCTTCAGTAAAGTCAGCTTCAGTAAAGTCAGCTTCAGTAAAGTCAGCTTCAGTAAAGTCAGCTTCAGTAAAGTCAGCTTCAGTAAAGTCAGCTTCAGTAAAGTCAGCTTCAGTAAAGTCAGCTTCAGTAAAGTCAGCTTCAGTAAAGTCAGCTTCAGTAAAGTCAGCTTCAGTAAAGTCAGCTTCAGTAAAGTCAGCTTCAGTAAAGTCAGCTTCAGTAAAGTCAGCTTCAGTAAAGTCAGCTTCAGTAAAGTCAGCTTCAGTAAAGTCAGCTTCAGTAAAGTCAGCTTCAGTAAAGTCAGCTTCAGTAAAGTCAGCTTCAGTAAAGTCAGCTTCAGTAAAGTCAGCTTCAGTAAAGTCAGCTTCAGTAAAGTCAGCTTCAGTAAAGTCAGCTTCAGTAAAGTTAGCTTCAGTCATTGAGAGAAAATGTGCTCCTTTGGGGTTTGTAGTCTTTGTAATTAGGTATTTTCACAGTCTTATACCTCAACAGTTTTACATCAAACTGCGACTTTCTTGACTTTAAAATGCATCTTTTAAATTGACAAACATCATATGTGTAATTCAGGGCACAATTCAAACGAGATCAAAATATTTGTTGTCTCTCGCCATTGACTACCATACAATATTTTTCCGATATAAGGTCCCATGGTGGTCGACCGGACGGGGAGGGGCTTAGGCTCTCTGAGTCTATAGAACATACTTTTTTTTTAGTAAATTCAAATTTAGTACCTATTCAGACAGTACGCAATTAATTTCAGACTCGAAATTGAATGTGTCTAAAATCAGCTCGAAATTTCACCAAGTTTGATTTCCTCCAACTGAATGAAATTCTAGTCTAAAGCTGAAAAAATCTGTGTCTGTCTTTCACTACACGTGAAATGTGCCAACTGGGAATGTCCAAAATCTGCAGGCGTTGTCTGAGTTTAGGCAACTAGAGCCGACCCGTCAAGGCATGAATGTGTAATCCAGCCTTTTGTCTTGATCTTTGCATTGAATCTCTGTTCTGTTTTATTCTCTGTAGGCATTAGCAGCGAGACCATCTTGAAGCCCTCGTGTATCAGTGAGGAGGAGCTGCTTGACCTTATCAAGAAACTCAACTCTGATCACAGAGTCGATGGTCTGTTGGTACAGCTTCCGCTTCCTGGTGGGTTAACAGAAGATAACTGCCCATAACCAGCGTTCATTTTAGTTTCATTCATATTTTGTATTTGCTTTATTTTTAGGTTTTTAGTTTTCATGTTAATTTTAGTTTAATTTTTTAGTTATGTGCTTTAAAAAAATATATTTATTGCTATTTAGGTTTGATTTCAGTTTTAGTTTAGTTTCAGTTTGATCTATTTCCAGTAATTAATTTCAGTGCTTTACTTAAACTTATTTCAGTTTATTGCCAAGGCAACATTAATCATTTTTTTACAACAAAAAAAAGTTCAGCCTTATTTTAATTAACAGAAATGTGTTTAATACTTATAGTTATAGCTGAACGATTATGGATACATTGAGAATTAAGGTTTTTTTAGTTTTTTAAAAAGAGATCACGATTCTTCCACAATTCTGAATAGACAACTAAACAAAATAAAGTTTAGCTGTCTATGCAGAATTGGTGAAGAATCCAGGATCCATAATCGTTCAGCTATAACTATAAGTATTAAACACATTTCTGTTAATTGAAATAAGGCTGAACAAAAAAAAAAGTGATTTAATGTAATGTAGTGATTTACTACAGATTCTGACAAAATGTTAATTGCTGCAGTCGATTTTAAAATGTTCTTTAAAAAATCCGCTTGAATGAATGATTCACTCATAAAGACTTGACTTGTTTCATTACTGGATGAATCAGTGTTTTTGAACAAATCTCTTGAGTGAATGATTCAATGACTTATTTTTTAACGGTCACTTGTCGCCACCTACTGGTGTAACAATGTAATCGATACAATCATTATTTGAAGCGTCAAGGTGATTTACTCTATTTTGATCACTACCGTAAACATTAGTTTAGACCCGATCTATGAACTTTTATCCCAGTACTTCTATGATTATTTGAATTATTGTATAATGATACTGTGTGGTTAAAAAGACTGTTTGTGAAGCTGTTTCACATCTAAACATGACGACTGCTGTCTTTGGACCGTTTACATCGTCAGTTGTGTAAACTGGGTCTTAGAAATAATTGCATTAGGCTGAATGGTGACTTAATGGTAATTTCAAACCAGTTTTTATTTTATTTTTTTAGTCCAGGTTGAGCTAGAGTTACATAAACGCTTCATCCAGACTAAATTTCTTTTAATTGTTCCCTCTCTTACACAGATCACATTGACGAGCGACTGGTGTGTAATGCCGTCTGCCCAGGAAAAGATGTTGATGGTTTCCATGTGGTCAATGTTGGTCGCATGTGCCTGGATCAGACCACTATGTTGCCTGCCACTCCCTGGGGAGTTTGGGAGATTATAAAACGGACAGGTGAGAAACACATTATTGTTCGCACGGCATCATTTAAACCCCAGCAGCTTTTAGACATTGTAGAAAAGAAATAGCTTTCTTTAACAAGCTGTATTTTACCCCTAGTAATAACATAAAGGGACATGATGGGAGGAAAAATTATCCCCCGAAAAAGCACACAACTTTAGCGAGCAAACTCAAAAACATTGACAAATATTTTGACTCTCTGTGTTTGCATACTTTACCACAGCTGAAGTGAAATAAATGCAATATTTGTCAAATACACAGACTTTTCAGACATTTTCATTCAATACTTTATGTACTGCTTAATACAGCGTCTGTTTGTACAAGAATAAAGTCCAACATAAGCCTATTATATCAATAAAGTGGGGTCTACTTTTTTTTTAAATCAGTTTTATTTTGATAAACATGACACAATATAACATCACGACTAAATGAAAAGAGATTTTTGAGCATTAGGGGAACTGAAGGTGTGAGAATAAACACGAAACACACGTGATAGTTGTCATGTGGTGGATTCGGCCAATCGTGAAACAGCTGTGACGTCATCAGTTCGTGCAGTCGCTCTTGAGAAGAGTCCTCCTGCTCTCGAATCGCTCTCGCGGTACTTTGATGGCATACGTCACAGTCACATGGCGTCGGCGCTGTATCAAGTCGGACAACATTTCTAACCGGTATGCACTGCTTTAAGTCAGCCGCCGATCGGTCTGCGCAGAGCCGCATGAAGTCTAACAAGCCTTAGGCTGTGTGTCCACCAAAGCGTTTTTAGCCAGCTGAAAATGCTAGCCGCTCTGTTGAAGACGCCTAGCTTGAGAGCGTTTTGGCAGCGTAGCATTTTTTCAGTTGAGACGCTTCGTTGCTATGATACAGAATACCCGCTGCACTGTTTACTTGTAACTGATTTCGCAGATATTTTGTTTCATACAAAAAATTTATTTTCATCCATTTTGTTCGGTTAGCTCTGCTGGTGGATGTCGTTGTACAGAAAGAATTAGGGCTGGGTATTGACACAAATTTCACAATTCGATTCGATTTGGATTCACAAGCTTGCAATTCGATTCGATTTCGATTCAATATTGATTATTTTGGATATCAGGTACAATACATGGCAAATTTTCTCAAGGAAAACAAATCTCTTAACTAATGCTGTAAACTATGGGAGTCAGTTGTAGCCTATTAGGCTTCATTAGCCTACTATAATATTGAAGGTAAAAATGAACTGATTTGTAGCTATACAAACACTTAAACTACACTTTTATTTATTTTTATAATAATAAAGTTATATGAAATATAAACATTTAAATGGTGGCTGTCATAAAAACTTGCCAGATTTATTCAAACATGCATTAAATATCGAAGAACATTAAAAATTATAATGAATATGTAATATGGTGCATATATTTAGCAAAATGCTCCTCTTTAGAGTTAATTTTTCTAGCTGACTAACGAGTTTATGGTCACATGGTTTTTCTGAGGTAAATGTGACGTTACATGACATTTTTTACAAGTTGTTTTACTGTCGTCTTTCCACGGTTGAAACACTGATTGAGCGATTCCATGTGACATGATACGGATTTCGATAAGTTGTAATCTTTTAACACACTTTCAGACATTCATTCATGTTTATTTGGCGCTGTAACTGGTATTATTAAGGCGGAAGAGGAGATCATGTGCTTCTCTTGAGCTGAGCTGAGCCAGAGCGATCTCACGCCACAGCGCCAAAACGCTATTTATGTTTTTGAATTTCGTAAGAAAATGGACGAAATTTGAGACTTTATTTTGTATCAAAAGTAACAAAGCACAAAGATTATTGCGATTTATTGGATGGGATGAGCGCTACAATATTCCATTCATTCATCAAATGAAAACAGGATGACTAATCGATTCTTGAGATTTAAGAATCGATATCGGTTCGTAAAAATGAGAATCGATTAATATCGAGAAATCGATTTTTTTTTTTTACCCAGCCCTAGAAAGAATGTTGTGACAGTTGGTCGGTGTGGTATTAGCCCCGCCCCTCCTCCACTGTGATTGGACGGCTGGGTAAAAAGTGACAGTGATGAGCGCTGCGTTTTACCCAAAGTTGAACATTCTTCAACTCTAGGCGACCTGTAAAAAACACCGAGCGCTCGGCGCTTCAGTGTGAAAAAACTACTCAGCGCCTCGTTACGCTCATGGCGTTTTAAAAACGCGGCGCTCCCATTGAAAACAATTGAAAAAATACACCAGCCGCGTGAAACAACGCTTCGGTGGACACACGGCCTTATGCAACACAGGCCACTCCCCCCTCATGAGTGGACATGCCCCTTGCTGCTGATTGGCTACAAGTGAGTTTTGGTGCTCGGTCCAATCCACTTACAACAGCGCTTCTCAGAAATCGCTTACTGCACCTTTAATATAGCCTGACGTCGTCATACTCAGATTGTAGTCAGAGTGTGAGTCTGATACTGCTCCATTGGGCTGTGATTATGGGGCGTGTTTAACCGAACCAGGAAAGAAAATGCCTCTGGACTCAATTGGATCGACAAATGCCTTGATCGCGGTTCTGTGTTCCTCTTTTAAAACGAATGCGCTGTCTACATCTTCTATAACAGACGCGATGGCTGAATCTACACCTCTCAGTTCTCCAGCGGCGGCCATCTTTGTTGTAAACGAGCTCAACCCAAGCGCTCTTTGGTGACGTTACTGTTTATCATCTGTCCATCATCGTATAAAGCCCACCCGGACAATTTAATTGGTCCGAACAGCTTTGATTCGAGGCGTACTTGCTTCACAACGGATCAAGTCCAGACCGAACTTCCCATCCTCAAATGTTGTGGGCGGGGCTAAGGCTGGCATCCAGGCTACCTTTAATATAGAACGGTGATTAAACTGACTGGAACTCCCTGTGCATTAAACAGTTTGACCGGCAATCAGAATCAAATATTCAGGCAGAACAAACATGGTATAAAATATCAGTTGTTATTGGATGCAAATTATTGATACTTATGTTCACTGGATCTTTTTTCACGTAGGCATAGAGACGCTGGGTAAGAATGTGTTGGTGGCTGGTCGCTCCAAGAACGTAGGAATGCCCATCGCAATGCTGTTGCACACAGACGGAAAACACGAACGGCCGGGAGGTGAGAAAATAAAGCAAAAGCACGTCCACTTCCGATGAGGTTTGGTTAGGAATTAATATAATTGCCTGTTTTGTTTCAGGTGATGCCACAGTGACCATCTCCCACCGGTACACTCCCAAAGAACAGCTCCGTCAGCACACACAAATCGCGGACATCATTGTTGCTGCTGCAGGTACGAATTTCAATTTGCAAATGAAATTAATTTTAAAGGGTTAGTTCACCCCAAAATGAAAACTCTGTCAGTAATGACTCTCCCTCATGTTGTTCACTGTAGTCACTCGGACTATTTTAACGATGTCTTAAATAACTTTTCTGGGCCGGCCAGTTTCAATCCCTTAGAAGCCTATGGAGGAGTGATCCAGCTCTCAGATTTAATAAAAAATATCTTCATTTGTGTTCCGAAGATGAACGAAAGTCTTACGGGGTTGGAACAACATGAGGGCGAGTAATTACTGACAGCATTTTCATTTTGTGGTGAACTATCCCTTTAATGCATGTTTACCGCCATGTATTTGTGTGTGGCGCTCACAGAGACCTCAGACTGACGAACACCATTATCCCTTCAGGTATTCCTAACCTCATCACTGCTGATATGATAAAGGAGGGCGCAGCTGTTATAGATGTTGGGATCAACAGAGTATTGGACCCCTTGACTGGGAAAAACAGACTTGTTGGTGATGTGGACTTTGAAGGTAAGAAGGAAACGCAACTAGTTGTGTGATTTTTCTGTAGTTGCTAAAATAATAGGCTAAACGCCTTTCAGACTTTCTCAGTTAATTTAATCTTTGTACTTGCAAGGCAACAGTAGTGATTCTAAACTGTAAATATCTTATATCAGTCTTGGGTGATTATTTTATCTTTCTTTAGTGTGTAATGTTGCTCTGCAAAGCTCCAGTTATTCTCTACATCAGTGTCAGTGTTACTCCCTGAAACGCCTCCCTTGTGTTCTTGAGTTTCTTCCGGTAACGAACACGTCACTATTCCTCATTTAAATAATTAATATGCAGAATAAAGGGGCGGGGCCTGGTTGAGCTAGTTAGTAGTGTGTTAAACTGGTGGTTATGGTAAGGAGCGGGACATTTCCCAAACACACTCGAAGCGCTTGACCAATCCCAACACACTGCTCCAGCCGACCAATCAGAGCACAGTGTGCTTTTCAGAAGGAGGGGCTTCATAGAGACAGGAACTAAACAGAGCGTTACTGACAGACTGGGAAGAGAGGAGCCGCAACAATGGAGAATATGAGGGAAATAATCAACATTCAAGCATGAACCTGTTCTAGTAGAGCCCAAAAAACAACATCAAGACTTTGTAAAAGGGCATAATAGGTCCTCTTTAAAGAAGTTTTGTTTGAAAATATCCTATTGATTGGAATTATGTCATTTAAATACTTGCATACTGTATTATGAAATGTTAAATATATCGATATAGCAATATAACCACCTTTTACTAAGCAAAATCGTGACAATACTTCTGCAGCAGAAGCTAAACTAAAACTTTTGCTGCCTTGCAATTGAATTGAATTGTTAACATTCATCTAGTTATATCCATTCTTCTTCTGAATGTATTTTAATCAAGGCATAAGTTAATTGGGACAACATGAAGAGGGGTGTTTAACTCGACTTCTCTCGCGTTCTCCTACGTGTCTGACTGTACTGTAAATCTGCATGTAAGGAGCTTTCTGACACGACTTGTAATTTGTCTCCACAGGTGTTCGAAAGAAGGCCAGCTTCATCACTCCAGTTCCAGGCGGTGTTGGACCAATGACTGTAGCCATGCTGATGAAAAATACCATCAAGGCAGCTAAAAATGTGATTTTAACCCCCCCTCAGCGTGTGCGGATGGCAGCGTCCTCATAACATGCTCCGTCTCACTTCACATTCCACACTCCACCTTTATTTTGAGGATCTCCAAGTGGAAAGGCAATGCTATTAAATGCTATTTTTGTTTAGATAAACATATATATTCAAGGGTTTGAGAAAACGAATGTGCTTTTTCATTCAGATATTTTAAACAATATATATATTATTTAGTCTTTTTTGTTTTGTTTTGTTTTTTGTTACATCACCAAACATTAGACACATGTGACCTTTTGTTTATGCACTAGTAGGGCTGCACGATATTGAAGAAAAATGCGATAACTCGTTAAATAATGTGATATTCTATATGCGATAATGCTTAAAGTGTGTAAAATAAACTTAAAATTTATTAAAACCCAATATCCTACATACGTGTTTCACATTCTTTTTTTGACAAGAAAACATCCCTACAACTTCTGAAAGTGAACAGCAGTGTTTTACTGTAGCATAAGAAGTGTTATTTTAACATAATAACAACCACGGGGTTCAGGGTTTCAGGACGGCCTACATTAGGTTTATTTAACAACCGAACGTGAATAATCAAATGTAAAAATAAACACTGCTTAGTTTTCACTATGAATTAAATATATACTGATTCTTATTAAAGCTACAAAAGTTATTCAGCAAACCGCTTTTGTTCATGACCCCAGTTATTGCACGCTGTTGCGATATACATTTTGCGATTTATACATTTGCGATATTTCGATATATTGTGCAGCCCTATTATGTTTTATGTTACAGTTTTGCATTTTTTTTTCAGCATTTTGTATGTTTAAGTATTAAAATAGGATATTGCCAAATGTTTTAAAGCATATTTATTAATGAGAAACACATATGAAATGTTCTAGTACAACTGCAGTCAGTGTTGTTGCATTTACCTTTAGGTTCCTGCAGCACAGATGTGAGTGTGTGGAAAGAGTCACATGGCTAATTCTGGTCTGTCAGCATGAAAGATAACTGACCAAATGACCTTTGTAATGACGGTCTAGGGAATATTTGTGATTAAATTGACTGACCCATCACTTCTTTATTTTATTTATCCCCCCCTATCGAGATGAAAAACCTTGGCCGGTTGGTGCTTTTTTTTTTAGCTGTATGTTCCGATGTCTTACTGAAATCTGTTTTGCATACTAATATGTAATGCCTTCCAGACATGAAATTAAAAGCATCATATGCAACCTTATGTTTTATTTGAATCATATTAGCCTGTTTGTATTTGAATCCCTTAAGGGTTTTGTTAAAATGTAGGAACTAGTGTGGTTGTATTCTAACTTCTATTATGATTATGGAGTTTATTGATAATATTCATGTAGTTCATGGTGCTAGCAACACAAAGGCTATAGGATTAGTTCCCACGGCATGCATGAACTGATCAAATGTACATTGAATGCAATATGAGTCACTTTGGATAAATCCATCAGCCAAATGCATTTACAAAAGTAAATTTAAAGAACATTTTTGAATATATAATATAGTTTGTTGTGTGTGTGTATATATATATATATATAAATAATAAAAGTGTATAAATATTAAACTTATATATTATTATTACTAAGAATATTTTGTAAATTTATAGAATAAATGTAAATAGTTTTTACGCCTGGAACTTTAATTGTGAAACATCACGAAACCGGATATCCGGCATTCTGTTGTTGATACTGCAGAGTTCACATATTACGGCTCTCTACAGGCTTCAGGTTTAAATATCTTATTAGAAAGCAGAAAGTAAAGGAATTCTGGATTGGTGGACGAGTAAGTATCAATGGGTGTTATTTATTGGGTCACTATGATTAAGATGAAGCATGTGCTGGCGTCATTTGATATTAGATTAACAGAGGCCATGCGGTTCCGGGCCTGTTGCAATACACACACACACTTTCTGCGGTTATACAGACTTATTTATGCTCTCGACTTAAACATTAGAGGAGTTTATAACGATGTATCCCCAGTTGTATTGTTCCTCATAACGACCATATTAATCAGCTTTTTGCGCTTTATACAATATAGTTTGTCTCAATGCAGTCTGCTTGCAAAATGTACACACACTTTACTGTTTGTTGATACGTTTCTTGTGAGTAAGTAATACATATGAGTGGCTGCTTATGACATTTATCGTACTTTGCTTGCACACAGACTTATGGGAGCCAATTTCTGCCACAAGTAAAAAAAAAAAAAATTGTGAATCATAATTATGAGATGAAAAGTCGAAATTATGACAGAGTTGAAAAGTCAAAATTTCTTTTTCCTCATAATCTCGATTTTTTAATCTCATAGTATTTAGGAATGTCGTAATTATGACGTAGTATTATTTGTAGCCTACACTCAAAAAAAAATTAAGCCTTTTTTAAAGATTTACGCAATGTAATTAATAGTAAAATTCCATCGAATTGAACAATCCTTTCGTCATTTAATTGAATAATTTGAATAATCATTAATTCAATTTGATGGAATTTTACTATTAAGTAAATTGCGTAAATCTTAAAAATAAAAAGATTTACTTACCTTTTTTGAGTGTATGATAATTAATGCATTAGATAATGTTAACGAATTGAACCTATTATCAAAAGTCTATACTTGATATGTTGCATTGTTTGTTTGTTTTTACCTGCAGATTTATAGCTATTGCATTTATTACAAGATCATACTGCTTTAAAACAGTAACGAATCAGGACTTCTACTTTCCCGACAGCTTGGCAAGTCGATTATTACTGATGGGAGGGAGTGACGCTGAAAGTAGATCTAAGATCAGAACCGGAGAAGAGAGCAAATCCCAAAGCTTGTCATCATCAAGCGCCCGGAGACCCAGTCCAAGCCTCCAGAAGAAGCATGAACGTTCCTCTGGTGAGAGAAAGTGAACAAATGGGCTCTTATTACACCTATATTGATGACTGCGTTAGTTTACACACTAAAAGAAAAGAAAATTCTGTCATTTGTGTGACCCTAAAGGCTGACATATGAAGTAATAGTCCGAAAAATCTATTTTCTTATTTTTAAATCGAAGAGTTTATTGAACCTTTAGACAAAAAAAAAAAAAAATTCATATAGTACAGGGGAAAAAACACCTCAAATTTATTCAGAGGCCCAAACTGAGCAAAAATATACAGTTGCTCATATGTATATGGACAAAAAAGTAAGATGAAATGTAAGTTTATGAGATCTTTATTACAGTATAGCAGAGTACTTATTAAAAAAGCATATAAATATCAATTGTCATTCTGTATCTTCCTATAATATGTCTTAGTAAAATTATATTTTGTTTTATGATTAAAGCTCTGTATTTTCAAAGCATACAGGTGAAACTTGAAAAATTAGAATATCGTGCAAAAGTTCATTTATTTCAGTAATTCAACTTAAAAGGTGAAACTAATATATTATATAGACTCATTACATGCAAAGTGAGATATTTCAAGCCTTTATTTTGTTATAATTTTGATGATTATGGCTTACAGCTTATGAAAACCCCAAAGTCAAAATTAGAATATTGTGAAAAGGTTTTCATAAGCTGTAAGCCATAATCATCAAAATTATAACAAATAAAGGTTTGAAATATCTCACTTTGCATGTAATGAGTCTATATAATATATTAGTTTCACCTTTTAAGTTGAATTACTGAAATAAATGAACTTTTGAACGATATTCAAATTTTTCGAGTTTCACCTGTATAATGCAATACAATGAGGATTGAGAGACGAACAAATAGTAATGTGTACACGCAGTATAACATGTGCCTCAAATTCTGGTCTGAAATTAGAGAAGAAAAAGATGAAGAGAAGCCGCTCCAGCTCTTCATCGTCTTCAAGCTCCACTTCCTCATCCAGAGAAAAAAAGGCCAAGAAGAAAAAGAAACGACGAGAAGAAAAGAAACTGAAGCGTGAAAAGAAAAGGGAGAAGAAGGAAAAGAAGCGGCAAAAGAAGTTAGCGCTGAAAGCTGAGAGAGAAGCAGTGCCGGCTCCTGTACCGACTCCTGTTTCTGAAGAACAGCTCACACCCTTCCTGCAGACCTGGCTGAATGAAGAGACCAAGGAACCCGGCCCTGGTATGTGCTCGCAACATACACACCAATGCCTAACGGAAAAAAAGATAAGAAGTTATGATGACACTTTACAACAAGGTCCCATTACTTAATGCTAGTCAATGCATTAACTAACAATGAGCGTTACAGTATTAATCTTTGTTAAAGGGATACTCCACTTTTTTTTGGAAATAGGCTCATTTTACAACTCCCCCAGAGTTAAACTGTTGAGTTTTACCGTTTTTGAATCCATTCAGCCGATCTCCGGTTCTGGCGGTACCACTTTTAGCATAGCTTAGCATACATCATTGAAGTGGACAAGACCATTAGCATTTCTAAAAAAAAATGACCAAAGAGTTTCGATATTTTTCCTATTTAAAACTTGACTCTTCTGTAGTTACATCGTGGACTAAGACCGACGGAAAATGTAAAGTTGCGATTTTCTAGGCTGATATGGCTAGGAACTATACTCTCATTCCTGCGTAGTAATCAAGAAACTTCACTGCCGTACCATGAGTGCAGCAGGCGTAATGATATGACGCAGCGCCTGAAAATAGTTCCGTTGTGTTGACGGAAGGTGGCCTATTTTCAGGCGCTGCGTCATATCATTACGCCTGCTGCACTCATGGTACGGCAGTGAAGTTTAGCTAAGCTATGCTAAAAGTGGTACCGCCAGAACCGGAGATCGGCTGAATGGATTCAAAAACGGTAAAACTCAACAGTTTAACTCTGAGGGAGTTGTAAAATGAGCCTATTTCCAAAAAAAAGTGGAGTATCCCTTTAACGTTAATTTATAAAAATACAACTAGAAGTATTCCGCGCACACATCTGAAGCACGTTTCTAGAAATCTGCTTCTCAGACGGCGCGCAAATCGTGTTTATAATAAGCATTTATACGTTTATACTGGGGTAACCGCTATATTTCTGATGTTTCATAAGCGCCACCTACTGTCAGAGAGTGAAATTGCATTTTCATTCAGCGCAACCTATGCAAAAATCAACTCGAATTTTTACGCTGTATAAATTCATATTTGTACTTTTGAATCATCCCTTTTCTTAAAGTCCCCCTGTAGTCAATAATTTAACCCCTTAAAACTCATCTTTGATCAACAAAATTACATATTACAATAAGTCGTCATGCCTTAAAATAGCTTGAATGTAACTCGACACCCTTGCCTCATTTAGTATACGTGGTTCTATGAATATGCAAATGAGCCCCGCCTCCACTCACTCACTCACTCAGCAATCCACTGGTTGACGATCACACGTTGATCTGATTGGTTACAAGGTCGTTTGTGACGTCAGAAACACCAGCGATTTCAAACCGTGTTTTTGAGACTGTCTTTGGTTCACTGCAGTTTTAAGCAGAAAATACTCAGCAATGCTGTCGACTTATGAACTTACACATGGTTTGTTTTAAAGCATATTAAAAACAACACATAGACACATAAACAACATTAAAAGCTGGATTTTCACCACAGGGGGACTTTAAAAAAAAAAGGCTGACATGTGAGGTTTATCATTTTATAGAACTTATTGTTTTTGTCAAAACTGAACTGTAAAGTTGTTTAAAAATCATAGTTAACACTTTAATGTTTCCATAAACATTATAGTATTAATTTTATTTGTGCAGGTCTTGAAAAAGGTCTTTAAAAGCTTTAAATCTGACTTGCTGATACCATTTTAGTTCATGTTATCTCTGGTCTATTACATAATATTAACAGATACAACTTTTTGTAAATGCTGAGATTGACATTATATTAACTAAGATTATTAGGATTATTTTTTTCCATCATAAATTCATGTCAAATTGTGTAGTAAACTAATAATATCAAATTAAACCTTTTAAGTAAACTGTTACCGAAATGTGTGTTTTTAAAAAAAACATTTTCTGTAGATAAAATGCGGTTTCTCTCGTCCTGTAGTCATGACTGACGAACAGAAGGACACTTTCTGCACCAAGAGACCGATGACAAAGGAAGAATACGATGCGAGGCAAAGCATCATCCGCCGTGTCGTCGACCCCGAGACCGGGCGCACCAGGTTAAACTGCTAAATCTCTATTTAGTATAAGTTTCCATCAACCGGCTACATCAGCAAGACAATAAAACGTTAACATGATGCATTTTTAACACAGGCTTATAAGAGGCGATGGCGAAGTTTTGGAAGAAATTGTCACCAAGGAGCGACACAAAGACATCAACAAGGTGCATGTCTTTCTGAAGCATTATGTTTATGTTTTTTGCAGATTTGTGAGACATGTCATTGTTGTCTTGATGTTTTTCACACAGCAAGCCACTAAAGGCGATGGTGATGCCTTCCAGAAGAGATTGGGGATCAACAGGTAGCGAAGTGGCGAATATAAAGGATTAGTTCACTTCAGAATTAAAACTTCCTGATCATTTACTCTCGCCTCCACGTCATGCAAGATGTTCACGTCTTTCTTTCTTCAGTCGAAAGGAAAATACGTTTTTTGAGGAAAAGATTCCAGGATTTTTCTCCATATAGTGACTTCAATGGGGTCCAACGGGTCGAAGGTCCAAATGTGAGTTTCAGTGCAGCTTCAAAGTCTCGACACGATCCCAGCCGAGGAATAAGAGGATTATCTAGACAAACCAGCGGCCATTTTATACAAATAAAAAAACATTTATATACTTTTTAACCACAAATGCTGGTCTTGAATGTCCATGACTTCACGCATTAGGTAATCAGGTTGAAAGGTCGCACTCAAAATCGTCCGACATCGTTGTTTTACCTTTTTTTTTTGGAAATGACGTTTGATTTAGTCTTTGCACGTTCGCTTTGTAAACACTGGGTCGGTACTTACACCTACGTCACGCTTGACCTTTCAACGTGTTTTTATAATGTGTGTCGCATCACAGCCAGTGCAAGACGAGCATTTGTGGTTAAAACGTATATAAATGTTTATTTTTGTATAAAATGGCCGCTGGTTTGTCTAGATAATCCTCTTATTCCTCGCCTGGGATCGCGTCGAGACTTTGAAGCTGCATTGAAACTCACATTTGGACCTTCAAACCGTTGGACCCCATTGAAGTCACTATATGGAGAAACATCCTGGAATCTTTTCCTCAAAAAAACGTATTTTCTTTTCGACTGAAGAAAGAAAGACGTGAACATCTTGGATGACGTGGGGGAGAGTAAATTATCAGGAAGTTTTAATTCTGAAGTGAACTAATCCTTTATGACAAGTCCTGGCCAATCCAAAGACTTCTGCATTTCTACAAGAATTCAACAATTCCTTAGTCCTTTTGTATTTCTCTCCCTTGACTAAATGTGGTGTGCTAATGATATTTTGCTCTCAGACGTTCATTTTTCAGGTGAATAATACTTAGTCTTGACAGGAAATGACCAAATGAGGTTAATTAAGCCTGTTCAATGTAACTAAGGCACTTTGCATATTTGATGTTCTTTCAAATCAGGAAGAGACTGTCTCTCATTTATCTGTAAATTGCAAAAGACTTTTTTAATGGCTTATTTATTTGTAAATAATGTCATTTTCTGTCTGATTGTATTCTTTGCCATTAAAGCTCAGCATCAGTTTATGGTTTTACCTTTAATGAGACCAGAGGACTGCTGCGACATCAATAAAATATCTTTATGCATGTTGGTTTTCTTTCTTTAAAGTAAGAGCTGACTGCATCAAAGCTGAATTCACTACATTTAACTGAATGTTTAGGAATAAGTGCATTATCGTAATCTGTATAAGTCGCACATGCAGGATTCATTTTGAGAGTCTGTCTATAAAATAATTGTTACTGCAGACGTCTATAAAGTTTATGGTCAGAAAGCGTTCAGATGAGTGTTCCTACCAATGACCTAACAAAATATAGTTTGTATGTATGAAATTATGCAGGAAATAACAGAAACTTAATCAATTGCAAATACAATAAGTTTTACAATACTCGCATCTTTATTGCATTAACATTAAAATTCTTATATACTAATGCGCATCATCTTGATCGGAGAGACTGTAAATGCTTGGAAATAATGTTTCATGTCCATATGCATAAGTTGTGCATCTTATTTTCTGATGTCTTCTTGACCACATCCACTTCAGCAGTTCAGACTAAACAATAATAGTTCAAGGGCTATAGGGAAAGTGCAAATTGCGTTTGTAAAATAATGAATTGTTATTTTTATATATTGTTACATAAAATGTTAATTGAAATAATGAAGTCATTATCTATTTGATTTGATTATTAACAGGTTGGTGCACTAATAGAAGCAGTGTTATGTAGCAACAATATTACATAACCACAATTAATAACTTATTATATTATTAACTTATATTAATTGTATAACAGGCCTGTAGATGGCAGTGTGCACATAGTCTGTGAATCATCATATAATGAAAGAAGAAGTAATGTTGTGTATTTAGTACAGTACAGTGTTGTATATTTTTGTAGTTTCGTTTCAGGTTTGTTACTTGAATACGTTTAATTGGGTTTTATATGTCGAGCGAGTCCCCCATGTGTTTCTACAAGGGGGAACTTTGAAGGATGATGACTTTAGTCAGTCACCGGCTTTTCTCCGTCTGGAAGTTGAAGCTGGGAATGATAAACATGGGACACATAACGTTACTTTCTCCACAGCGTCACTGGAGATTAATAGGATGGCCGTTTGTTTTCGCTGCTGGTAAGAAATACCAGATTGACCTGCCAGTTTTAGACGAGGAAGACCTTGAGGAACAGTTTGTTCGGGGATCTGGCCCTGGAGGACAAGCCACCAACAAAACCAGCAACTGCGTCGTGCTTAAACACGTTCCCACTGGTATCGTCGTGAAGGTGAGTTCGTTTATGATCTTAAAGGGATAGTTCACCTAAAAAAAAAAAAAAAAAAATTTCATTAATTACTCACCATCATGTCGTTTCAAACATGTAAGACTTTAGTTCATCTTCCGAACACAAATGAAGATCTTTTTGATTAAATCTGAGAGCTTTCTGTCCCTCCATTGACAGCTACGCAACTACCACTTTGACGCTTCAAAAAGTTAATAAAGAGATTGTAAAACTAATCCATATGAATTGAGTGGTTTAGTCTAAATTTTCTGAAGAGACTCGATCGCTTTATATGATGAACAGATTTAATTTGGGCTTTTATTCACATAAACATTCATTAACTCACACAATGGGTGATCCTGATTCCTGACTATCAATATAGAAATTGATACAATCAATGAGGTGAAGAAAGAAATAACTTTAGCCCTAGTTATTCAAAAGATATTTAATCAATAAAAGTGTATGTCTAATTGTAATTTCTTGACTATCCCAAATCCCACAGTGAATAAACCTATATGTGTCAGTGTTGCCTAATCTGACCAAAATATTATTATATTGAAAGGATCTCTCTTGCAGTGTCACCAGACCAGATCTGTGGATTTAAACAGAAAACGAGCACGAGAGATTTTACGTGAGAAACTGGAGGTCGCATACAAGGGTGAGGAAAGTGAACTGCTGAAAATAAAAAAGGAATCCATACAAAGGAAACAGGACAAACGGAAGAAAGTAAATGAAAACATGGAGAAAAAAAGACGATTCAAGGAGATGCTCTGCTCAGACCAAGAAGATGAGAAATGCTGAGATTCATTCAAGAAGATGAGAAATGCTGAGGTGCACATGATTTCATCCCTTTTTTTTCTTTTTTATTATGAATTAAACACAATGGACAGAACCACTTCAACAGTGTAATCTGTAAATTAAGAAACGGGGGCTTTATTATGATTCAGAAACCTGGATACAGTGGTTGACTGTAATATCAACTAAACTTTAACTTTGTGTACTGTGGAAGTGGAGTGTACTTTCCCGCTTGTGTATGTATCTTTTGTCCCTGTTTTGTTGAAATGAAAACAAAGGTTTTTGTTGAGTACGCAACGTTTGAAAGATTAAACTGGTTAATAAACAAGAATCAAACAGCACCTAAAGGCTGATTTATACATCTGCTTTATACATCCAACATTATCACCATAGGGGTGAGAAATTAGTGTATTTGATGTGCTTTTTATACTCAGAATGACCATTTGGAATGTAAAGAACAACATATATTATACAGTTATTTGTTTTATTAGGAAAATACCATATATATAAAAAGAAGTGGGCTCAAAGCAAACTTTTTTGAAAAAGCTATTTATTCACAAAAACATGTTCTTTGAAAGTATGTATATATATATATATATATATATATATATATATTTATTTATTCCTGGCAGCTAATGTTAAAGTCATAATGCGAGTATACCTTTTGTTCTTCTGGCACTGAATAAAAATGAATGAATAAATAAATTATATTAAAAAGAACATACCGGAAGTACGTAAGGAAGCACGGCGCGTCTAGTTTACTGCTTCCGCGTTTTTTAAACCAATCACACGCCTACTATACAAGAGTTCGACCAATGAACGCTACCGATTGATATTTAAAAATCCAGGCATCCTGACGCAAGTTATTTATCTCAGCATGCTGTGCTGTTTATAACCCTATCTGCTTGTTGGTGGAAATCGAATCCAAGATGGGAAAAGGTAAAATCATAAGGTTAAAAAAATTAGCATGTGACTCACAGACGTGCGTCCGTTTAGCGAACCTGTTTGTGTGTGAAAAACGATGATAATTAGAAGAATCGATCTGTTATTTAGTGACGCTATGACGTTGCTAATATTGTGTCGTTATATATTTGCGTTTTCTGCGATCAATGTTTGCAGCTCGAATCCTGACGTTAGTCGCAGTATGTATGCGCTTAATATTTCGTGATTTATTTACTCATTAGGCAAAAAGTCAACCAAACGAAGACCCGGGGACGAGAAAGCTGAACAGGCTAAAGAAAACAAACACGGAAAGCCAACGGTAAGTTAGGAGAGATGCGTTTTGAAATTCTGAATGTATTTTATTTAACGTTACTGATCGATCTGTGATCACCTTAAAAGGATGGTTCACCCAAAAATGAAAATTGTTATCATTTATTCACCCCATTCAGACTGTTGACGGCAGCCATTGATTGATTTCTATACAATTTATTTCCCCCTACTTGGAAGTCAATGTTTTGTCAACTGTTAGATCTCCGACCTTCTTTAAAATGTCGTCTTTTGTGTTCAACAAAAAAATAAGAAACTCATACAGGTTTGAAACAACATGATGAAGGGGAGTGATGACAATTTACATGTTTTGGTGAACTATCCCTTTAAAGAAGTTAATGATGCATATTGCTTTAATAATTAATTTGATCAAATACCTATTTGTGTCTCAGACATGCCAAGTTCAGCTAACAATCCCTGGTTGTCTGAGTCAAAACAAGCCGCTTCGGAATAACCCACTCATCCCAATATTAGAAGACAATTCTGCAGACGACACGAGCAAACAAAGTGAAGGTATTTGTTTATATCGTATTAAAGATGCACATTTATCATGGTGGTCAAAGTTGTTTTACTTACTACTTTTTTTTTTTCCTTTGGCTAGTCAAAGATGCTGATGAGCTCAATGCACCGAAACAAGAAAACACTGGCAAGATCCTTAATTGTGCACATAATGATCAGATTGATGCGCCTCAGAAAGATTCTGGGACGAGGAAGCAAACTAAATCTGGGCAAAGAATGAATGGTGAAAAGTCAACAGACAGGAAGTAAGTCTAATAAATTGTTTGTTTGTCGAGGTTGCCGTTTTATTAAAAAGTGTATTTATAATGTGTATTTGTCTTATTTTCTTCAGATTGAAAGGCAAAGAGTCTGAACTCAATCGAAAGGTCACAGATTACTTCCCTATTAGGCGAAGTTGCAGGAAAAGCAAAGCTGAGTTAAAGGTTGGTAAATTCTTCCAGAATTAAGTTTTAAAATGTATTTTTTTTTTTTTTGGTATAGCGATTTCATATGAACGATTCATCCATCTGTAATTTTTATTTAAATATATATACTTCTGACCTGGTATTTTTCAATCAGAATGTCATAACTCACTTTTTTCATATCAAGAGCTAAATATGGCCATGTTGTTTTAAAACAGTGTGAAAAGCAGCAGCACATTGATGATCTCATCAGAAATGATGTGGAAGAGGGGCTCAAGGTAAGACTTTAACAATGTTGTAACGTGAGACCTTTCATTCCTTGGTTTAAGCATCTGCTATTTTTAATCAGGTGAAATGTATTGAAGGAAAAGGAAGAGGGATTTTTGCAGACCGTGCGTTTAAGAAAGACGAGTTTGTAGTGGAGTACCATGGGGATTTGTTAGAGATCGCTGATGCCAAAGCAAGAGAATCTCAATATGCTGAAGATCCCTCTCTGGGCTGCTACATGTACTATTTCCGCTACCGTGACAAAACCTACTGGTGAGTATTTGCACGTTTTATTTTTTATGGCCCTGTTTACAGGCATAGAGAGCCTAAGCCCCTCCCCTCCGCTTCTGGCTCATGGGACCTTATTTCGGAAAAAATATGTATGGTAGTCATAGAGACAACTTATCTTTTTTATTCCGTCTGACTGAACTGAGCCCTGAATTACACATATGATGTTTTTTCAATTTAAAAGATAATTCTGAAAGTCAAAAAAGTCGCAAAACACTCCGGCATGACGGCGTAACATTACGATTATAACGTAAGACTATAGAAACAATGACAGACGTTAGCTTCAGTAAAGTTAGCTTCATTCATTGAGAGAAAATGTGCGCCTTTGGGGTTTGTAGTCTTTGTAATTACGTATTTTCACAGTCTTATACCTCAACAGTTTTACATCAAACTCTGCGACTTTCTTGACTTTTTAAAATGTATCTTTTAAATTGACTAACATCATATGTGTAATTCAGGGCACAATTCAAACGAGATCAAAATATTTGTTGTCTCTCGCCATTGACTACCATATAATATTTTTCCGAAATAAGGTCCCATGGTGGTCGACCGGACGGGGAGGGGCTTAGGCTCTCTATTAAGATGCGTTTTGGCCGATCAGATCACAAGTAGACGAGGGAGATGCATCCGTTTACACCTGGTGTTTAACCCTCTGGGGACCAAAAACGCACCTGTGCGTTTTGGCAGATTTTTTTCACATAGCAGAAAAATAGACTTAAACTACTCCATTTCTGGTCATACAGAGTTAAGACATATTCAAAAATAAACTGTTAAATGTCTACTTTATGTGCCCACCTACAATCGAAATATTCTGTTTATGTAATCTATATAAAAAGAGAGAGGTTTCTGCCGTTCTCATTATCGTTCTCGCATCTCATTATTGCGCTAATGTGACACGCCCACGGAGAGCGCTCGCTATTCAAACGCTAATGATCTGAAGCAACACATTGAGACGTGTAAACGCGCATATAAACTGTTAATGTACTGTCGTCTTGCGCGGCTGTGAGGTATAATCTTGGGACATTTACCTACCTCAGAAAAGGAGCGAGCTGAACTGTAAGTGTTTTATTCTTGTGCTTTGTTCTAATCGCGATATATAATAAACGCAAAAATAGCCTACTGTTTAAATTTGAATCATGCTTCTGTGTGTGTGACTAGTTTTGAATAGATTATAAAGTTTTAACTCTAAAATAGACATCAAATAAGCTTTTGTTAGCAGTTTCTGCTCATATGTTAAACGTATAGAATGTTTTGTCAATAAACTAATCAACTAAGATGTTATAGGCTAGTGTTTGTTCCAATGGAATCTATATCAAAATAATGAATCCTTAACTTTGAAATATGTATGATAAAATGTATATGTCCTACTAAGACAGTTATGGAAAAAGACCATTTTCAATTTTACTTTGAACCAATTCTGTAGAATGGCCCATATAACCTATTTGAACAGGATTTGTTTCCAGGTATGACTAAAAATGTGCTTTTGACTTTCATATATATATATATATGTGTGTGTGTATATTGTCCTTGCATTCTTTCTTGTGTGACACACCTGAATGAAAGGCTCATTAATATGCGGGTCGTCTTTGTCTTCTCAACCACCTAATTATTCACAATGGGGTTGGGCCGTTCACGCCCATTCGCATATTGGCTTGGATAACAAAAAAATGTTTTTCACAATTTAAAAGAATCTTTTGTGTTATGTGAATAATTAGACAGGATGATTTTCACATCATTTTGAAGCCAGAACTCGAAGCGACAACATCCATTAGTCAAAAGTCTTGGGGACACATATTTAGTATGTGTTTTGTGGTCTTATTTCAACAACATTTTTTTTTTTTTCAATAACCACGCATAAACATTCTCTTAAAAATACAAACATGTACATACATGTTGCTCACATATTATGGTAGCCCCGGTTATGCTATATAGTGAATTTACACCTTTGCCATTAACATGTTTATAAATAACTGAAAATAGCACAAATGTCAGTGCAATTGTCAAAACATCCCAAGGGCCCCAAAAACACCTTGGTCCCCAGAGGGTTAAATCCATCTTATGTCCACTTTTAACCACTTCTGTCCTGACTTCTTCGAGGGGTGGGTAAAGGTTTATTTTTTTTGTTTGTTTTTCTGATCTAATTGACTAAATAAAATCATACAGACGGAAATACATTACATACAGATACCATCACCTTTCGTGAGTGTGTGAGTGATCAGGTACGTTTTTCCTCTTCAAACCAAACTTGGGTTTCCAGCCAAAGTTTAAATCCTGTCTGGGACTTTAAATTCCCATAATGTTTATGCTCTAAGTCAGTTAACGGAGAGTAGGCGTCTTCTGAGGCTGTTCGAACGCATTCAACCACATGAGCGTTTACACTATGAAAGTGAAATGCCTCTAAAAGTGGACAAGCTCAAAACGTTTTAGACCCCATTTACACCTGTATTTAATGTCGTCCATTTGTGATCCGATGGACCAACACGCATCTTAATACGTGGTGTAAACAGGGCATATAATTCAAACATCAGATTCAGGTGTAAAGAATCTCTGAATGGCCATTCATATGCTTTAATGCAGATTTGACATGAACATTGCGATCCGTGGCCTTGTTTACATCTAAACATTATGGGAAGTGCTCTAGCCAGACGGGATTTAAACTTTGTCGACTGTAGACCCAAGTTTGGTTTAAAGATTAAAAAAAATGTACAAAGCACAATGTTCTCTCAGCCTTCCTGATTTCTAACACACTCACAGCGTTCGGCTGATCTTGCGGCTCTCGGAGCAGAAACGAAAGCTGTGTGTGTGTTCATATGTAAATTGTGCAAGTTTTTGTCCGTTAGACCATAGACCGTCCCCTCGACGGATAAAAGAGACTGATTAAAACACCGGGTGCAAATTGGATTGTTAAGGGCCGTACACACCGGGACGAATATCGGCGCGTGTTATTCGCCAGCGTTTTTTGTGTTCACACCCATGCGATTTTCGCTGACGATGCGCCGAGTGAACATGCAAATTCATTCCCTGACATTAGATGGCGCCCATTTGCTCTGCAATAATTCTCCATAACCGTTCTCTTTTATCAAGATTTTTGTAGTCGCTGTCGCGTTTGTCATATAGTTCTTTATGTTCCGACACCAACGAGACCAGCAGCTCTACATTCATCTTGCCTCGCATCTTCCTCGTCTTATTTCTTCCCGGCAGTGTAGACGCTACTTGGCGTACATCTTCTTCGCCGTCACGTGTGTGTGCTCGGCAAGACTGTTTTGTGTTTGAGCGCCCCCAAGTTGTGTTTTACTGTAACTTCAGAAGCTCCAGACACGTGAGCAAAAGCGCCAATCTCATTGGTCGGATAGTTTTTGACGCATCTCGTCAAACCCAAAAAACCAACCCGAGGCGTTTTTAAAAAAATTACGCTTTTACGCGTGGCGTTTTTCGTGTCGGTGTGCACACTCACATTGGCGCCCTTTGTTTAGTCACGAGGCGTTAAACGTCGGCGAATATCGCACGGGAAATTCGTCCCGGTGTGAACAGGCCTTTACTTTGACTCTAATGCAAATTTCTCTATATTCCAAGTATAATTGCTTGTGCACTTTTCTAGTGTTGATGCTACCAAAGAAACCCACCGTCTGGGCCGACTGATCAACCACAGTAAAAACGGCAACCTTCAGACCAAACTACATGATGTAAATGGCACGCCTCACCTCATCTTCCTGGCTTCCAGAGCCCTGGAGGAGGACGAGGAGCTGCTGTATGATTACGGTGACCGCAGTAAAGAAGCCCTCGCTGCTCATCCTTGGCTCAAGCACTAAATCACTCTTACTTGAGTTGTTCTGCTGATAGTTTCTAATGGAGTATTGTGGATATGTCTGAGTTGCTAAAATAGTTGACTATGATAGATGATACCGTAAAATGAATGTCTTATGAAAGTTTAACTTTTAAATGAATACATCTTGGGTTAAGGCTGAATGATGTGAACCGTTTTAGCTAATTGTCTAACTACTTAAAGGGATAGTTCACCCAAAAATGAAAACTCTGTCAGTAATTACTCTCCCTCATGTTGTTCAACCCCGTAAGACTTTTGTTCATCTTCGGAACACAAATTAAGATATTTTTGATTAAATCTGAGAGCTGGATCACTCCTCCATAGACTTCTAAAGGATCGAAACCCAGAATAGTTATTAAAGACATCGTTAAAATAGTCCCAAGTGACTACAGTGGCTTAATCTTAAGTTTATCAAGCGACGAGAATACTTTGTGCGCAAAAAACAAACAAAAATAACGACTTTATTCAACTATTCATTTCCTTCTCTGTGGGCCTCGAGTGAGTTCACGTAGTGTAACAGCGCAGCGCTTCTGTGTTGTACGTCACACGGAGGCTCACTATTGGCCGACGCTGGTCTTGTGTGTGTGATGCGTGTGACGTACAACACAGAAGCGCTGCGCTGTTACACTACGTGAAATCTCGAGGCCCACAGAGAAGGAAATGAATAGTTGAATAAAGTCGTTATTTTTGTTTGTTTTTTGCGCACAAAGTATTCTCGTCGCTTGATAAACTTAAGATTAAGCCACTGTAGTCACTTGGGACTATTTTAACGATGTCTTTAATAACTATTCTGGGTTTCGATCCTTTAGAAGTCTATGGAGGAGTGATCCAGCACTCAGATTTAATCAAAAATATCTTAATTTGTGTTCCGAAGATGAACGAAAGTCTTACAGGGTTGAACAACATGAGGGAGAGTAATTACTGACAGAGTTTTCATTTTTGGGGTGAACTATCCCTTTAATGGCTTGGGAAAGTTCACTCAAATTAAATTTACTCACACTTACGATGTTCCAAACTTTTAGGACTTGGTTTTCTTCAGAAGAAAACAGATATTTTGAAGGATGTTTTAGTGGTTTTTGTCTAGTCGGTGGAGTCACATTTTTAAGCTTCAAGAAGGAATGATTGGATCAAAGATTATCAAAATTCGTGTTTTGAAGGATCGGTGTAAATGTTTGGATTGACACGTGTGAGTAAAGGACGAAAGCTTCTTGTTTTGGGTTAACTATTCATTTTAATGTGTAATGTTTAAGAATATCAGTCTTTGACTTTAAGGATAAGAGAATATTCAAATGGGTATAGTTACTGTACATTTTGTATAGGCAAAATTGTTTAATTGTGAAGCAATTATACCACTTTTTTTTAACTGTGAGTGTTGAGTTCTTTGTCTTAAACCTTAGTTGAGTTTTATAAGGATTTGCAGCATTACAGAAGCACGCATGCGTTTATTTAAAAATGAATGGTGTTAAATGTTCAGCTACAAATGCATAATGATTGTTTTAGGCAGTTCAGTTTAATCATAAAACAATTTCATTTATTCTTGAAATAAAGCCCATTGCAATCCAAATAAAACCCATTGTTAGGCGCCAACGTAAAGGAGCGTAACGCTAGAAAACTGAGCCCTGTAAACCCTTCTATATTAGAAATTAATATTACTGGTTATTAAATAATTCCGTCATTATACTTTTTTTTTTTTGTGACCAAAGAATTTTATTGCATTTCAAACATGAAAAAAAAATTAATATGAAACATCCAATAGGCAAAAAGCAAGCAACTGACATCAATATCGTCACATGCCAAACAAGTACTTTCTGGACCTTATAATAACAAAAGCTGGATATTAAATGTGTATCGGTTTAACTGGTTCATAATACTTGATTTTCATTTTATCATTCGTCTTCCATTTCAACAAGTTGGACATATCAGTTCAAACAAGGAAAATAATTATACATTATTTGATTTCTAATGTAAGAGAGCTAGATATACTTCTCTTTTTTTGTTTACATTTAATAAATTAAAGCATTTTAATCTTATGAATAATATATTAAGAAACTCCATGTTAACACCGTAATCCATGTACAAACAACAGGGTCCAGATATTAAGAATAGCATTTTTTAATATCATTGCAGAAAAATAACCCTCTTTCATAATTGTCCAGAGGTACAAAAATATTTACATTCATATGGCCCACAATTAACGACTTCATATACCTTGAGATGTATTAAATATTATTACGTGGTAGGTGCTTTAGAAAAAAAAAATAGTAGTTTAGTTGAAGTACCTCTTAAATTTAACTCCGCAATCCCTAGTTTATTGAAATTAGGAATAGAAAGTGATATGCAAAGTCATATATTTTCTGTCTAAAAGCTTGTCAACCGTTGCAACAGATTCAGTCTGAAGGTGTTTTCTATATAATATGCTTAGTATTATCACCAAAATCAGTTCCAAACTGTGTCTTTGTGCTAATTATAACATGACTGAATTAAAATGATTATTGTAATGTCATACAGTAAAACATACTGGGGTACTGAAAGAATGGAGATGAAAATGGATGTTAGTTACATTTGTGTTTTTGACATCTACTCATTCGTGTTTGGCTTCACACTCAATTATGAACTAAAGTTATAAAGAAGTTAAAACGTACTCATTTAAAAAGTAGAAGTTAGGCAAAGGATTTCCAGCCAGAAATGGGTCAGTATTGTTTAAAAGAGTCACTTCATCGCATCTCTCCAGTCCTCGCTCTGCTGGAAAGGGCTTCGCTTGGTTTGTTGTATTAAATCCTGGTTAGGTTTTGCAGATGACTACTTTCGTCGAAATGAGAACCTGAAAAAGAGAGAGAAATGGTTCGTCAGCAAGAAAAACATTGAGCCAAAAATGCATTATTTTTCAGAGCAAGACATTTGTAGAAAATAAGCTTAATAAATCTCTGCTGAGAAATGTCATAAACATCTTAAACATTTAGGTGCAGACTTTCACTGATGCTTCAAGAAGGAAATGTGATGCCATAAACTTTTTGAAATTTACACCACCAAATAAGTTTAATTAATTACGTTAGGTGTTAGAATTTCGTGAATATTTTGAATGCAATACCAAGAGAACAACATTTTTCCATTTTGCTCTTATTTATCAAGGCTGCCAAACACATCAAATGGCCAAGATGCACAAGGACTGAATTCATACTTGCTCTATTCATTTACTACGTGACTTCTGTTACTTACAGAGCTAAATATTATTGTAATTTGGACATAATTTGTTCCCAGAGGAGGATGGGTTTCTCTCCATCTTGAGGAGCTTTGTCACAGTGGTCTTTGGTTAGCTCACTTGACACTCAAAGACCACATTTCTTATACAGACAAAATACAGCCGCTTTAAAACGCTATGCATCATAATGATTCAAATGTACATGACAAACTCGAGATAGCTGGACAAACTCCAGTGGGCAAGTCTCCAAACCTCTCACAACTGGTAAAGCCACTCACATGAGGCTTCAATAAATGAAAAAGGTACACTTTACAGGTACACACACACACGACCCTGCAATACTTGCATATGTATTTTACGCCATTTGTAAGAAAATAAAGACTTTTGGTAACACTTTATTTCGATAGTTGAAACATTCTACTAACTATAAGTACATTTGCAACGACATGTCAACTGACTCTCATTGGAGTATTAGTAGACTGTCTGTGTAATATCTGCTAACACTTTTTGATGCTCCCCAAAACACTGACTATAAAGCCGGGTGCACACTATGCGATTTTGGCCGTCTGAGACAAATTCTGCAAATCCTAAAAGAATCCTCTGACCCAAGGCTAAAATCAGAAGTCTTTGATCGTTAGTTTGACATGTTTAATGATTAATGATTAATTGACCGTTCCGATCAAATTTTACAGAAGATTTGACTCATAGTCCTGCAGTGTGATTTCTCCTACGATGGCCGTCAAAGTGTCTTCGTTTTTCACATAAAAAAGATGGACGACGCCCCTTCCCTCTCTTCCATTGGTCAGAAGTGAAGCCGCCATTGTCCCGATATGGCGCTGACATCTTGGGACTTGAGTGTGCGCAGTAGCGATCTCGGGACCAGACCTGCGCAGTCGTGAGCAGGAAGTAAAGTTGCGAAATCAAGGCCCCGCCCTCACTCTCGCTGAATCAATCGCAAGCACACGCTGCTCCTGCACTTTATTTAAATTAATTATAGAAATTTAGATATTAAATTTAAAGCTCCAATCTCCTCAGTCCTCCGAAGATCCCGAAAAAAAGTCTGTTGGTGCTTCAGTGACTACTTCGCTCAGAGAACCTGTCAATCACAGCTGTCAATCATGACGTCACACCACCGCTTTAGATAACTAACTTAAAAACAAACTTATTTTAAAAACAAACACTTGAAATTACATCAGCGTGATAAAAACTACAGTAAATGACAGAAACCGTATTTGGAAAAACGATATTTGAAGTGTAATTTAATTGTTTAGTTGGTCTCACGTGCCGTTGAATAACACGGGGAGGCGGGGTTTAGGACCTATACTAGGACCGGCCACCGGGGGGCGATTGAGACGTTTTGGCTTGACTTTTCAGTGCGGCAGGCGTGGTTTTTCAAGACAGGCCATGACCAAAATTAACGTTAGAGATTTCTTTGTAGCCACCATTTCAATCCCGCGTGTAACGCAGTTCACAGTCACCGAACGTGTCATTGATTGCTAATGCAAAACTTTGGACAACTTTTCTTGCGTGCGTCCATTTTTAATGCGTCTTGACTCCCGTACAGTCACATTAATGACAACTGAGATCTTACAGTGTGACATGGACTACAGCGAGGATCATGTTCATACTGACAAGCAACTAGGGTTGCCAACTTTCTGAAATGGAAATAAGGAACGGGGGGTGGGGGGTATGTGGTAGTGACATGCCCCCTGAAATTCATACATTTTATATCATATTATAATGCAACTTATTAGGCCTATATATTTATAGAATAGCAAAGTAGGCTTAATCAATATACAAGACTTAACCACACAGATATATAAAGGCCATCATGATCATTTTGCCAAAAATGAACCATGTATTTGTTTAGATTATAATACGTTTATTTTTAACTTAAACAAATACAACATATAACATTCGAAACTCATCGGCTGAGACTGCATTTGAAGAAAAATAAACACAACAGTTTTCTGTAGCCTTGTGCGAACTTATTCAATAGAATTAGACTTCTAGAATGTTCTTTCCGGTGCAAAATGTAAAAAAATAAAAAAATTAAGTAGTTTTTCTTATCATAGCCTACAAATGTCTTCGGGAAACACATTTTACTCGATTTACTGAAGCCTGTAAAATGCATTTGCAGCTGCACAGCTCGCACATTGAGCGTCTGGCTCGCTCAGGCTGCGCTGCGGCAAATGCACATCCAATGGCGCGGGCGCCTCTGACGTGCGACCAATGAGCCTACTCTACGTCATTACACGTCAGAGCCCGTCAAGGTGGCGCCAAGTCCCCGAATTTGCCATTATAGCAGCGGGTCTTCGTTCATTCATTAGTCTGTCTGACATATAGGCTATATTAGAAGCTATGCGTCTGTCATGAATTTGCACTGAATTGATTCTCAAAAATACGGAACAAAGTGCGTTCCGTATCAGTTCAATACGGAACAAGCCTTTTATGTGTCAAATACGGAACGATTCCGTATTATACGGAACGGTTGGCAACCCTACAAGCAACAATCGTAAAGGACTATAATAAATCGCACAGTGTTAACCCAAACCTTAACCTAACAGTCTACTAATACTGTAATGAGAGTTAGTTGACATGTAGTTACTTGTAGTTAGTAGAATGTCGAAAGTGGTATATCAAAATTAAGTGTAACCCTATTATTAATAGCTACTTTTGGTTGAATAAACTTGATAAGTGTAATAATTTGAATATCAAAATAAGATAGACCTGGAAATGCACAGAGCTCAAGGCATGTGGCATCGTGCAGAAATTGGCAAACACTCACAGTTTCTGAATAGTGCTCTTCTCCTTGTCCTCCTCTATAATACTGGAGGGTTCTGGTTCTGACTGAGGAAGCGTGTCCAGGTTTATTTCCACCATGCTTTGCTCTGACCCGAGGACCCCACTGCAAGCACATCAGATGCTACATTTGACCTCATGTAAATCCACATCTATATGCATGTCTATATTCTGAAAAATAATATGTATTTTTTGAAGAACATTGGACCTTACTGACTTTCATTTTCATATCTAAAACAACTATAAAAATCTCTTTCTTTTTGCTCTGCAACCCTGTAAATGTGCATCAATCGACTTGTTTACCTCTTGTAGAGCTGTAGTTCCTCTTGGGCCACCATAAGCTGGGCTTTGAGTTTGTTTCTCTCTTGCAGAACCTCCTTTAACTCCTGCATGGTGAATCTTGGTCTGTTTGGGTCTTTTAAGTCGACAACTAGTTTGTTTGGCCCAATACTTTCCTATAAAAGAATTTAAAATATATATATTGAATTATGTATAAATAAGTGTTTGCACAAACTGGAAATAAACCCTTTTAAATAACAGTCAAAATATTCAGTCTCATTTGTTACAAGATTACAAGGTTGAAAAAAGAAATAGCCTATATGCATGAATGTTCACAATAAGACTAGTAACATACACTCACCTAAAGGATTGCTAGGAACACCATACTAATACTGTGTTTGACCCCCTTTCGCCCTTCAGAACCTCCTTAATTCTACGTGGCATTGATTCAACAAGGTGCTGAAAGCATTCTTTAGAAATGTTGGCCCATATTGATAGGATAGCATCTTGCAGTTGATGGAGATTTGTGGGATGCACATCCAGGGCACGAAGCTCCCGTTCCACCACATCCCAAAGATGCTCTATTGGGTTGAGATCTGGTGACTGTGGGGGCCATTTTAGTACAGTGAACTCATTGTCATGTTCAAGAAACCAATGGGCTCTATGCATGGCGGTATTTCCGGTGAAGGTCTAAGGATGCTGGATTACTTCCGCCGATCGTAGAGTCCAATGCTATTCCGAGAATTTATATTGCTTTTTATACTCTATTGCTATACCAAAGAAACTTTAGTTTTTACATCTAAATTACATCTAAACGTATTAAAGTTTCGTTTCAAAGACGAGAGGACAGTACATTTTTAAGACTCTGCCATAATCCCGTTTTCCTCGGTTTTCCTCCACTTTAAATCTCCCTAACCTGAAATGCAAGAGCATCCTTGTGTCAAACGCGGAACTTATGCGTGCATATAGCCCATTTGAAATGATTCGAGCTTTGTGACATGGTGCATTCATTATCCTGCTGGAAGTAGCCATCAGAGGATGGGTACATGGTGGCCATAAAGGGACGGACATTAGGCTTGCCGCGATAAACGGTGTTGACGGTGTTACCGGTTTTAAGCCCCATCACCGGTGACATCACTTTCCCACCGTGACACCGCGATGTCGTGACTTTTTTAAAGTATTCGTTTTTGCTAAAATATTTATTTGAATTAATTAAAAATAATAATTATCAATTATTTAGTTCAGAAGAGAGCATACATTATAATTAAAAACTGAACTGCGCAGTGCGTGCCAAGAGCCAGTCACGTCACAGATCAGCAAGCATCAGGATTCCATTTAGCACGTGTGGAGATGAGAACGAGTCAAATTACAGAAAAGCAAGATAATGGCGGAATGTGTAATTTATTTAGGCCTGTTTTATTTTCTTATTCGTTAATAAACGTTTTATGGTTCTTATTTGTTTGGGCCCACAGTTTGACGATTTTCAGCCTATGCATGGGGTTATTTTTATTCGTTCGTTATGCTAATAAAAGTTCTGTCTATAAATAAAAGTTTTATTATCAGCGAGCCGAGTTGTTGTTTTTTGTCCATTCAAGCAATTGATGCTGAATTGCCAATTGACGCTTATTTCGAAAGTGAAAGTATAACGCGCACGCATTTAAAAGCTATTTAACCCCCCGCCGCCCTGCCCCCCACGGTGACACCGGGATTACCGGTGTTGTGACACGTCGATTAACCGGTGGGAAATTTTCCTCACCGCGGCAACCCTAACGGACATGGTCAGAAACAATGCTCAGGTAGGCCGTGGCATTTAAACGATGCCCAATTGGCACTAAGGGGCCTAAAGTGTGCCAAGAAAACATGCCCCACACCATTACACCACCACCACCAGCCTGCACAGTGGTAACAAGGCATGATGGATCCATGTTCTCATTCTGTTTACGCCAAATTCTGACTCTACCATCTGAATGTCTCAACAGAAATCGAGACTCATCAGACCAGGCAACATTTTTCCAGTCTTCAACTGTCCAATTTTGGTGAGCTCTTGGAAATTGTTGCCTCTTTTTCCTATTTGTAGTGGAGATGAGTGGTACCCGCTGGGGTCTTCTGCTGTTGTAGCCCATCCGCCTCAAGGTTGTGCGTGTTGTGGCTTCACAAATGCTTTGCTGCATACCTCGGTTGTAACGAGTGGTTATTTCAGTCACTGTTGCCCTTCTATCAGCTTGAATCAGTCGGCCCATTCTCCTCTGACCTCTAGCATCAACAAGGCATTTTCGCCCACAGGACTGCCGCATACTGGATGTTTTTCCCTTTTCACACCATTCTTTGTAAACCCTAGAAACTGTTGTGCGTGAAAATCCCAGTAACTGAGCAGATTGTGAAATACTCAGACCGGCCCGTCTGGCACCAACAACCATGCCACGCTCAAAATTGCTTAAATCATCTTTCTTTCCCATTCTGACATTCAGTTTGGAGTTCAGGAGATTGTCTTGACCAGGACCACACCCCTAAATGCATTGAAGCAACTGCCATGTGCTTGGTTGATTAGATGATTGCATTAATGAGAAATTGAACAGGTGTTCCTAATAATCCTTTAGGTGAGTGTATATAATGTAATGTATATGAGCATATGATTACAACTTTTTGAGTGAACTATCCCTTTGAGTTATATAATGAGAAGCACACTCAGGTCCTCAAGAAAGCAGCCAGAAAAATGGAAAACAGCTGGAAGAAAACAAAACTAGAGGTATTTTGCATTGTGTGGAAGGATAATGATACTGCATACAAAAAGGCAGGTATGCTTACTTTGTGACTCCCTTAGAAGAGAAAAACACACAACCCTAGGAATTTATTTGATACATTGGCTAAATTAACGAGAAATAAAGCTTCAACTTAAGACGTTTCTAAACAGCACAGTAGTATAATGACTTTCTATACTTGCAAGATTGATACTATTAAAGAGAAAATTATAACCATGCAACCATCTACTACAGTATGATCAGACTACGTGCTATAGACACCCTGAGGAACAAGACCATTCATTCTTTGCTATTGGAGAGAAAGAATTATCTAAACTAGTTAAATCATCTAAATCAACATCATGCATGTTAGAGATGTTAAAGAGATTCTTCTAGAAGTCATAGCTCCTCTTCCTAAAATTATTAATTCATCATTGTCATTAGGGTACGTACCAAAAACTTTTAATCTGGCTGTTATTAAACCTCTTATTAAAAAAAACGTAACCTAATTCTAGAGAACTAGTTAAAAACTGACCGATCTTGAATCTCCCTTTTTGGTCAAAAATACTAGAAAAAGCAGTATCCACCTCACAACTATTTTCCTTTTTAGAAATAAATCATATCTGCAAAGATTTCATTCAGGCTTTAGACCATATCATAGTACTGAGACAGCTCTTATTAGAGGTGATTTGCTCTTATCATCCGATCATGGTTGTATCTCTCTATTAGTGTTACTCCATCTTAGTGCTGCATTTGATACTCTCGACCACAACATTCTTTTGAATAGCCTCGAAAATTACTTTGGCATTAGTGGAATTGCATTGCCATAGTTTAAAACATACTTATCTGACCGTTATTAGTTTGTAGCAGTAAATTAAGAGATGTCATTTCAATCACAAGTTCAGTAAGGAGTACCGCAAGGCTCAGTACTAGGACCGTTGATTTTCATCTTGTACATGCTACCCTTGGGAGATATCATTAGGAAGCATGGCGTTAGTTTTGACTGTTACGCTAATGATACTTAGCTCTATATTTCTTTGCGCCCCGACGAAACATACCAATTCACAAAATTAACGGAATACATAGTTGATATAAAAAAAATTGGATGACTAGTAATTTCCTACTACTTAATTCTCAAAAAAAACAGGTTTTAATTATTAAACCAAAAACCTACACACATAACCTAGAATATGGTCTAACATTTGATGGCTGCTCTGTTACGTCTTCGTCATCAGTTAGGAACCTGGGTGTGTTATTTGATAGCAATCTTTTATTTGAAAGTGACATTTCTAACATCTGTAAAACAGCACTTTTCCATCTTAAATTACGACATATGCTCTCACTGATATGTTTGTATGTAATTATATTTATATAATATGTCTGTGTACAGAGTATACACACATATACATTATATATATATATATATATATAGAGCCTACACACATGTGTAACAAACTTTTATTTGAGATGCTTTTAATTAATTGCGATTAAAAGATTTGACAGTACTAATCTATAGTACATAATAATATATTTATATATGTGTGTATACTGTATATAAACAGACATTTTCATATATGAATGTCTGTGTATATACAGTATACACACACACATAAATATAATAATATAAACACACATATAGTGTAAAAACACAAACTTTTATGTTAGATGGGATTAATCGATTTGACAGCACTAATATATATATATATATATATATATATTTATATATGATATCTATATAAACACCTTATGAATTTTGCTCTGAACTTTACATAACCCACTTACATTGTTAGTATTAACGTTACCACTTGAACCTTCTGCTACAACTCTGTCCATTTCTCGCTTCATATTATCCATCTCCATCCTCAGCTCCTCCATCGACAGATTGTACTTGTTCACCATTGTCTCAAACATCTCCAACACACGGACGATTTTGAACTGTAAATCCGAGAATTCCCGGCCACCTGTGTTGACTTTTAATAAATCTCTGCCGATCACGTAGGAAATGTCATACACATCTTCAACAGTCATTTCCAACACGTCCTTGTCGAAAGCCTCCATGGGTGAACTGTCCTGTCGCCCTTCCATTCGGTCTCAAAACACAGTAACTTTCCCAAAGATATGGCGAGTCCAGTTGATCTCACTGTCCCAATGTATTCACAAATTACCCGACAACTTCCTCTTCCAAACTGGCTCATCTACTTTACTGCAACTTTGAGCGTTTGATTGACGTGTTAACCAGCCAATGGCGGAGTCGCTCCATGAACAACACGGTTAATGAAGCATCAGTGATTGTTATTCCCGGTAACAGCTCTATAACAATCCTGTGGAACCAACCCTGTTAGTAATTTAGTTTGAAAACGGTTTTTATTAAGTTAATGTCATAAAATTGATCAGCTGTTTTCAGAGCTTAGCAACACAAAGCGACCAACAGAACCAGCTGGCAATTGGCAACACAAACACAATTTAATTAAAGGGATAGTTCACCCAAAAACAAAAATTCTGTCATCATTTAATCACCCTCAAGTTGTTCCAAACCTGTATGAATTTATGTCTCTCTTCTGCTGAACACAAACCCTAGGGTTAGAGACGGGTAACCCTAACCCTAACCCTGGTAACCAAACTTGTTGATTGGCCCCATTGACTAGTGTGGAACAAAAAATAAATACTATGGAAGTCAATGGGGGTAATACACTGTTTTGTTACAGACATACATTCAACATATCTTGTTTTGTGTTTAGCAGAAGAAAGAAATGCATACAGCCAGGTTTGGAACAACTTGAGGGTGAGTAAATGATGACAGAATTTTTATTTTCGGATTTACTATCCCTTTAAGAACAGTATGTTACTGCTAAATTATAACATATCGCTGATGATAGCATGTACAGATGATGTGGAAACATTCGCTAATTTAGTTTTTGTGTAAAAGCGAAAGTCGTGAAAAGGTGCACTAACCAGCTGCTTTTTACAGAATAGGCAACATAAAATACACACTTTTATTCATATTTCTGAAAAGGTTCAATACTAACTGAATTTCTTGATGTGTCATGTTTGTGTTAGTCCACTGTGTGGCAGTAGCTGTTCATTTTCTCTCTTGTCTCAGGTTGGTAAAGTAGTGTCAGGTGCAAGGTCTTATCAGGGACTCCTCTGTTGGTCTTGGAGGAGAGGAAAGGAGGATAAATACACTGATCTTCACTGAGGCGTGTCTTTGGTTTTTCCTCTGGTGGTGTGTCAGACTGCTGCCTTTTTCTATTGTGGTAGGCCTACAGTGTTGTTGTGAATTGATTAATTTGTGTTGCTTAAGTAGATTAGGGTCCAATTCTCACTATTAACTAACTGTTAACTACAACTTTTGCCTCAATAAACTCCTAATTACTGCTTATTAATAGTTAGTAAGGTGGTTGATAAGTTTAGGTATTATAGGATTAAGGGATGTAGAACATGATCATGCAGAATAAGGCATTTATGTGCTTTGTAAGTACTAATAAACAGCCAATATCTTGGTAATATGCATGTTAATAGGCAACTACTTAATAGTGAGAACTGGACCCTAAACTAAAGTTACCCTTTCTTTTTGTTGTTAATCTATCATAAGTGCTGTGTTGATATAATAGCGTTTCACGCTATTGTGTTGACTACCTATTTCATTATTTTTGTTGGATAAAGCTGGATGTTGAAAAAAGATTAACTTTAAGCTTTCTTGTAAACATGGTTTAAAAAAGTTGAGTACGCTTTTCTTATGTTGTTTCTTGTTAATGTTGTTTCTTGCACTGTTTGGGGCTCAGGCTTTCTCAGCTTAAAGGTACGGTAGCCAATTCTTTCATAAACACTTTTTTGTTATTCTGATTGAAAATGTCTTCACATCCTGATAGCAATAGATAATAGAAGTGATCTAAATATAAAAAATATTGCATATTAATTTTCCAAGAAAAATTTATATTTTAGTCAGAATTATTGCGCTCCTATTTGGTGCACATGCGCGCAACAGCGCTCGTTCAATGTGAAGTTTAGCAGCAAAATAGAAATATTTGCACGACTTTCATAACATGTACAGATGGAGAATATATACCTGTGAAATGTAAGTTTTGCACTGAGAAAAACACCATCTCAAACACATAAAACAGCACAAACAATATGCTGTTTGATGGTGGATTGATTTGATCCATGATCGACCTCTGCTTAATAAAAGCCTGCACATGCAATTATCTAGATAAACCTGGATCAAATTAATGGGATTGTGTGAACTTCAGTTACCTTTTATGAAACCGCTTTAGCCCCAACTTATTTGTTAGGTTCATTCAAGTCAGGTGTTGGAGTTTAATCCCTGCTTTTCTTAGCGTCTTTTATGAAACAGGCCTCAGCTCTGTAAGTTATTACGTTCATTATAATTTGTAGTGTCATGTGCTTTGAGACGTGAGGTAATTTAAAGCCGTCTCGTGTGACACTTTGCAGACTCTGCTGTGTGCGTTTTGAAAGAGGCGTGGCTTTGTAGACGCTCTGAAGGGAGGGTGGGATCATGTGCTTTCAAAGCTAGCTTGCTATTGCTAGCCTCTCCAAAATTGCCTACCCTGCCTTTAAGTTTAAAAGTCAAATCATCTAATTAATTCTTTCCAGCTTGGTGTTACTGTTCAATGTTCAAATCGTGACCTATGCCAAGCGATCAGTCTGCATCTCTTCATTCATTTTTATTTATTGCATTGTGCTCTCTCTGTATACATTTATAATAATGTTAGTCTGTATTTTTATTTTTAACTAAAAGCCCTACTAGGGACAAGTGTTGTGAATTAGCTTTAGCTAAAACACTATGATACATACATCAGATAACTGTTTAAGTTGATCTGTTTTTGTATCTGTCCCTATTCAAATAAACTTAAATAACTCAGATGGGCACTACAAACTTCCCTGTTATAAATATCACAGTTCAATCAATATAGCAACAAATCTACTTAATCTACTGACATTATATTTGAACTTAAAGCCAAATGAGATCTGTGCCCTGTCCTGTTACCGACCGTCATTCAACCCGTGCAATCCCTCCTCGAGCCCACACTTAAGTGACGTCATACCGCGCACACTGCGCATGCGCAGAAATACTCCTCCTTGTTCCATAGGGAATCATCGGGCGCCTTCATTGCTGCCGACATTCTCACTGTTCATGAACTGAATTCAGTTATTTTGGGGACCTCGTAATGGACTCTCAGAAAGTAAGTGGCACATAATTAAAGTGTTTGGAAACCAGTAGCTAACTGAAATGTCTCCGCGGTCCATTTGTGATCGAATACTAATGTGTTTATTACACTATCATCGCTCATATGCGCCGCACCGTTAATAACGTAACGTTACGACTCTGTAAATAGACACTTTTCATTCACACCGATGAATTGTAAAACGAATACCGTATGTCTATTTACTGTAAATGTTATCTGGGGTTGTGGCCTTTATGACATTGAAGTTAGATGGCGTTTTAGAAATAGTGTTTGACTTGTAGCTGTAAAGAAAGCTGGAAGATTGATGTTAGAATAAGGGTGAATCTGGCTCCCATGTGTTTTCTTGTAGAAATGTATAAGTGTTTTGTGTTACGTTGTATTTGACTGATCCCTTGTTGCATAATACCAATATATTCTGTGCTATATATAAATGCTGTAATGTGTTATATAAACGATATACATTATATAATGAGGGAGTAGATTTAAAGGATATTTAACCAGTATTACTGCAGCAACAGGTTGCATTGCATAAGATTAGTAAAAATTGTATCTCATAGGTTTTGCACCTGCGCTCCCAAGTTTACTTAGTAGAAGTAGATAAAGAGAGGGGAAGTGACATCAGGCAGGGATGAGGAGTCTGCGCACACTAACATTTACAGATCACATATTCTGCTTACTGTTGTTCTTCCACACTTTCTTTATATGAATGATAACATCCCTGTGCGATATTGGCAGCTGAGAATTGCTACCCTGTCTTTGTCTTCTTGAGCAGTGTTGGGGAATGTTACTTTTAAAAGTAGTGCGTTACATTATTGCGTTACTCCCTAAAAAGTAACTAATGGTGTTATTTTTATGGAAAGAAAGTAATGCATTACGTAACTTTTGCATTACTTTTTTTTTCTTACCTGGGCTGGGTTTGTTTGTTTGCCTTAATTACAAAAAATTATATTTTTTGCAAATGTAAAGGCCGTTTCACTACAAAAGTGAAATGAATAAGCCTCATGTTGAAGGTAATGCAAATTCACACAAACGTTTCGGCTTCGCTGGCATTCTGGATTGCAGAAGAATAGGACACAGGAGAAGAAAGTTCAACAAAAAAATTAACAAATGTGATGTTTAACTAGTCATTTTTGTTTATTTGTATGGTTGAATGTGGTATTTGAAGGTCAGCACCAAATAGGCTACATTGGTTAATAATGTGAGATTTGTGTTAACATACATGTTTGCATAATATTCTGACTTTGCATTTCACTGTTTATATTCATTTTGAGGAAACTGGATCTGTTTTTGTGCAAGTGAGATGAGTAAATGCATGCTTACTTTAGTCTAGAACTATAATAAACATCATGTTCACACACAACGCCTCTCACGATTCCTCTCAACATGAGGACAGGAGAGCTGTCAGTCAATACATGGGAAAACAAAGTAACTTGCGTTACTTATTCATAAAAGTAACTCCGATATTTAGTTGTAAATATAAAAGTAATGCATTACTTTACTAGTGGCTTGAGAAAAGTAATCTGATAACGTAACTCACGTTACTTGTCAATGCATTACTCCAACACTGGTCTTGAAATCATTTTAGCATTTTTGTTTTTGTTATGATTATTGAATTGAGTTGGAGAGGATCATTTGAATATGATAGATAACATTAGAAATACACATTTGCACAAGTTTCCTGTATCAGGGCTGGGAGGCATGCAGGGAATATACCGGCACACAACCCGACTGTATTGTCACGAAGTGGGTCATGCCGTTCGTTGTGGGTTTTGTGAAAGAGTCCGGTTCCACAGGGCATGAATGATGTAACAGTTGGACTTTTCAACAGGCGGGCCGTGGCATTCACTTGGCTGCAACTTAAAATTCATCTAATCTGGAGTTTAGCAGTCAGAATAAACGTGACGGGATCAGATTTCAGCCCTGGAAAGTTAGATCAGGTTAACTGGCCTCCATAAACCCCTCAATGATACGAGTGTATGCATGTAAATCTGATACAAAGGTGGACCACATTGTTCATGTATCTAATTCTGCCGTTTAGGGTGTGGATCTGTGGTGGTCAAAGAGCAAAATACAGATAGTAGTAAGAATCGAATCTGACTTATATGTGTGTCTGAAGTAGGTCAGCTCTGCCCTCTCATGTTACTCTTTGCAGTTGACTGTCAATAGTTTTGTGTTGACCGAGCTCTGAGTCGAGGAAAGATACTGTAAGACGAATGTAACAGACTGAAAGTGTCTGGATATTTAGAAGCTGAATGGCAGACATCCTCTAGAGACCGAGACTAATATCGGCCTGCTCATGTGATATTTATTTAGCTATTTCTTTGTTTTTCTTCACACATCACATGTCTCATTGTCTCATATTTCATCTCAAGCATGTTTCTCATTGACAATGTTGTCTCCTTGGTAAACAAATAGACTTAACTTCATAATTATTAGATGGATGATTATTCAGTGTGCGGTAAATGAAAAAAAAATATTGTTTTTAAACTGCAATTAGATATGAAGTCAGCATGAAATTCACTCTATTTTCTAAATGCGTGTTATAGACCTTATATTGAACAGTTAAATTGCACATGATTCCTTTTTTATTTTATTTTTCTTTTGGTGAAAACAACATGCAGATCATTTCACCCGCTCATGCAATATTCATCTTGTGTCAATCTCAACATCCAATAAACATTTAATGCATAAACATGTCCCACCCTGCATTTGTTCTTTTACGATGATCCGTTTCAATTGAAAGAAAAATTTAAATCAACAGAATCTTTCACGATTTTGTGATTTAAAAAAAAAAAAAATTGTGAGTGATTTCCTCCCAAAAATGATTTGTTGATGTATTAAACCCTGATAAGCATATGTGATATGTGCAGACCTGTGGTAATGAAAACGACACGATTGATTGCTAGTGTGTTTGAGGAAATGCAAGCTGGGACAAACCTACACTGAAAAAAAAAACAATAAGTAAAATTTACTTAAAGGTGCTCTATGTAACTTTTAGCGGCCTCTAGTGGTGATGTTTCAGATTGCAACCAAATTTTACAAGAGCGCTCGTGCTCGAACTCATAGACAATACCGTCTATTACGCAAATATCTTGGCGAATACTAGACGGATTCGGCGAGCACCGAGCTCGTTGGGACCATCTAGTCGAGCTGAAAAGAACCATATTAGTTCCATAGTTTTTGGTGGTGTTTTCGCGGAGATATTAGCAGAAAACCATCGGGCGCGCTGCAAAATTGCGGACGCCGGTGACGTCACGATCTCAGAAGAAAATCGCTCGTATCTCTGGAACGCAAAGACCCAGAGAGCTCAAATTCGGGGGAGGAGGTCCCAGGGGAACCCTTGCCCGAACGCTCGAGTGGCGGGCCTCGGGGATGCCCCTTACCGGATCGCCGTTCGCTGGGACCCCCGATTTCGAACGGCTATAACTCGGGGAGCCGGGCGAGTTGGACCTCGGGGGTGGGCTCGTTCGAAAGGCCCCGTCCAGCACTACGAACGATTAGAGTCTTGGGAATATTGATCAAAGATTGACTGAGATATAAGCCGAAAAACGTGCGCCTTTAACCGGACGTAACTCCCTGACCGTCTACAATAGACTGTATATAAGGAGAGAGGCTCGGGAGCGCGCATGCACGTCACATCCGTTGGATTTTGCGGTAAATCCGACCCGGAGACTTCACATAGAAATAGGAATACTGGCCTTCAGAGGTAATAGCAAAACTCGACAAGTGGATCATTTTAATGTGTGATTACAACCTCTTCACACACAGGCAATAAAAAAAGGATTCATTTTAGTAGAAAAGTTACATAGAGCACCTTTAATTTTTCTTTGGCAAGTTTTTGCACGCATATTTTTAAAGTAAATTTCACATATGGAATTAAGTAACCTCTACTTAACTAAGTTACGTGAAATTAACAAAGAAAATAAGTCATTTTAATAAAAAAGGTTGAGTGATATCTATTTAGTTGATGTTTTCTTTGCAATACATTTCACTTAAACAATATAACATTGAATTAAACCACACTTTTTTCAAAGCTTTACTTTGAAACATCTAAGTAAATAATACATATTTGTATATTTTAAACTACACATCATGTGAACGCAGAAACCTCAATACTTGGTAGACAATACACAATGACGGTAACATTTGATGGATCGTTTTTGTGTTTGAATGTGTAATTTTGAGTAGAAAATGAACTTTAAATGTCACAAAATGGCAAGTTACTAATCCCAACAACAAAAGCAATGATAAAACAGTGTAAATAAATACAGCTGGAAACCAGTGAAAAATCAACCTCATTAAGTATTGCATGATGGGAACACCAGTATCAGAAAAGTTGAGTAATTTTACTTAATTTTATAACGTTGATATTTAGGCTTTAATTTCGACACGCTTGAATTGAATACTAATATAGAATTTACTTAGTTTTTTAAATTCTTGCCTGAACTAACTTTTTCATGTAGTATTTACTTCACCACAAAATTATTTTTATTAGTGTAGATATTCTGTATATTTGCCTCTAGCATTTAGAGTCAGTATCTCTCTGGATTAGGCCCAGAAGTCTTTATCCTTAACTAGCATTGTCTCCTGGATTTGAAGGATTTAAGGGACCGTCTGAGTCTGACCAGAATAGTTTGCTCTACGTCATTCTGCATGTCTTCACCCTATTGTTGACTTTGTGTCTGCTTGCTGTGTAATCTCAGGAGAGAGATGGTCATCCTCTCTGTGATGAGAGGAATTAATTAGCAATCTGTGCATGCTTATCTTTTTGTGTTTCATGTTTTATATCTGTCATCGTTTACTGACAGAAAGTAGACAACAAACAGGGACATCATGAAACAGAAGCTCATCCTCCATGAGGTTCACACAGCATCAACTTTTAACATTATTGCATTATTATTAAGGAAATACCTCCTTTAAGTGACGAAAGGGTCATTTTATGTCACTAAAAAGAGTTTGTCGTTAAGCTTAACCTAAATGTTAAATGTAAAGATTAA